CATCTGGGTGCTGATTTTTCTCTTTTTTCAGCTGTAAATAATAACTGTTCAAGCCATTTTAAGCTTTTATTGAATTTCACATTTTTTTCCATATCCAAATCCACTTCTTAAAAGAGAACTAGATATCGTATATTCCAGTCATAAGTAATATAGCAAGTATGGATGGATTGTGGGTGTGAAGAATAAAAACAGATGCCTATTGTTACTTCCCAAATGGCGATTAAAATGGAAATATTGATTTTGTTACCTCCTGGGATTAATAGCAGCATTCAAAATGTGATAGCAGCATTCAAAATGATAATAGCAATTACATATACAATGTGTTCCATGTCAATATTCTAATCTATTTTATGCCATATTCTGTTTTCCTGTTTTCATTTCTTTGACAAACTAGTAGAATTCATTTTATTTTACACCATTTTTTCTCACACTAGATAGCTCTGGGCAACTTGCAATATAATGGCACTGAATCAAGAGAGAAGATATTAGGATGGAGCAAAATAAGTTTTTAATCCCTAAGGCCTAAAATCTTTCTCCAGTCCTTGAAAAATAACATATTAATTTGCAATTAACTGATATAGGTAGGCCTCAACTTGGGATCCCAATTGAGCCCAAAATTTCAGTACAATTATGATACAGCGAAATAAAGCTTTCAGACTGAAGGCTCCAAAGATTGCTGTTGTTAATTGTGAAGTGGGGTCCGACCCATTGCAACTCCATGGACAATGTTCCTCCAGGCCTTTCTGTCCTCTACCGTCCTCTGGAGTCCATTTAAGCTCACGCCGACTGCTTCAATGATTCCATCCAGCCACCTCCAAATATAATAATAAATATAATATATTATATATTATAATAATATAATATATTATAATAATAAATATAATATAATATAGCTCCAAAGTTATTCTCCAACTATTCTACCCTTCCTTCCTTTCACAGATTTCTTTTCTAATATGAAAAATGATAGAAAAGCTGTGAGAAAATACCAGAGGAAGGAAGACACCAATAGCGTGGGAAAGGGTTACTCAGAATTTATTGACACTAAATCATTTTTAGGTATTGTGATTTGGGGTTAGGGTAGATTAGAATAGGTTCAGCTTTCAGAGAAGGTTTCTTGAATGTTGAATGTCGCAAAGATACTCCAGTTAAAGGACCTTTCTCTACTGGAACATAAATGTGGTACAGACATGCCCCCAGCAGCCTTTTTTCCCCCTGCAATGTCCCCATGATGTCACCTTCATCTTGTCCCCAGTTCGTATCTAAATACCATATTTTTCAGAGTATAGGACCCATCTTTCACCCCCCTAAATGGGGGTGAAAATTTAGGTGCGTCTTATATACCGAATGTAGCCGCACCCACTGGTCCCCACCCTTTGGCCTCTGCCTCGCAGCAGTTACCTTCTTGCAAGCAAACAGCAAGAAAAAACAGCTCCTTTCAGCTTCAGCACAACCTAATTAGCACAAGTTGATTGGATCGCCCTCCCGACTCTCAGTTGTTTTGCGCAGGGCTTTGCTGCTTGCTGCAAAGAGGTAAATTGCTGGAGCAGATTTTTTTTTTCCTTGTGCTAATCAAGCTATGCTGAAAACTAAAATGAAAACGAAAATTGCGCAGAGGCAGAAGCAGAGGGAGATTTCTTTTTCTTCTTTTTCCTCACCAAAAAAGATAGGTGCTTCTTATACTCCGAAAAATACGGTAACTCAAACTCATCCTTAGTTGTTCCACTTTGATATAGTGTTTTTCCTCTTAGCCAAGAGGCTATGACATGTGGATGCAATCTTACATGCTTCACTGACCTCGGTGTTGATGAGGTGATACAGTGGTGGTATTCAGCCGGTTCTATCCAGTTCGGGCAAACCAGTAGCAGCGGCTGCATGAGACTCCACCCACCTGCCCAGACGTCATCGCGTCACGTTTTTTATGCTCTGTGCATGCGCAGAATGCACGCGCTTGCATTTGCGAACTGGTAGCGAAGGTAAATGAATACCACCCCTGAGGTGATAGCGTAGGCCTGGTGTCGATTTGGCACTCCTCATTTTTGTAGACATACTTTTCCCCCCTCAGTTGCCTTGTCCAGAGTCATTCTGATTTGGGCAATAGAAAAGTCTGGCTCTTTCAAATCAAGATTGTTCCTTTTTTCTGCCAGATTGCCAAATCAATCTCTAGCTCAGAGATTTAGATCAGCCCAATGAGTGGAGCAATTGATCGTGATGGTGGGGGGGAAGTGGGAGCTGTATAAGTGAAGCAGAAGAAATAAGATATGTGTGTTTGTGAGAGAGATACAGAGACATCTTGATACAACCCTGCGCCTTGCCTAGCATCTTCACACCATCCAGAAAAGCATGAAACCCATGTTCAAAACCTACCTAAACAACACTTCACAAGTGGTAATGGGGTTATTTATTTATTTATTTATTTATTTATATATGTATTTGAGTATATATTAGATAATATATGTAAATATAAGCATGAATTGAATACATAAAATAAGGATTAAAGAACATAATTACAAAGTTATTTGGAAGTGGTATTTGACCCCAATAAGACTTTTTCAAATGGATAATAAAGTGGATAAAATGTGTTGGAGATGTAAAGTGGAACTCGGGACATATATTCATATGTGGTGTAAATGTAATGGGGTTGAACTTTTTTGGTCTAGGATAGAAAATGAAATATTTGAAATAATTAAGAAGAGGGTCAAATTGAAAGTAGAAACCATATTATTATTAATATTGAATGAAACAACATTAACAACTGGAGAAAGAGAATTGGTGAGGATTTTGGTTATAATGGGGAGAATTATAATTGCTAGATATTGGAAATTAAATGTTGACTTAAAATTAGAAGAATGGTACAATGAAACATGGAAATTTGCATTAAATGATAAATTGACTTGTGATATTAAAATTAGAAGTGGTATATATAAAGAAAATGTTTTTTGGAATACCTGGCAACCATTTGTGGACTTTGCACTTGGGAGATTGGATGAATCGGCACCAGTACCTTATCAAAGAGATTTCTGGAAGAATTGAAGACTTCAGGTTCCTAAAACTTCCTTTCCGTTTGTATAGCACGTTGGGGGGAAAAAAAATTTTCTTTCCTTACTATTGATTTTTGTATTGATTTTTTTTTCCTTTTTGTTATTTTTTAACAATAAAAATATAATAAAAATTAAAAAAAAATGAATTGAATATATAAAATGAGGTTCACCTTGAGTTTGTATCTATTGTGTGCTCGTGTTTTGTTGTGGTTGAAGCTGAAGTAGTCATTGACAGGTAGGACATTGTAGCAGATGATTTTATGAGCTATGCTTAGGTCATACCGAAGGCGGCGTAGTTCTAAATTTTCTAAACCCAGAATTTCAAGTTCAATATGAACTGAAGCAGCTGAAAGAAGGTATACAACTGCACATATATATGTTCCTGTTAGCTGTTTTGGTTGAACCAGGTCTCTGAGCTGGAATTAAGAAGGTAGTTAAGGAAAGCCTGCACAGAATATAAAATAAGGATAATTTCTCCCCTGCTACAAGCAACAAACTAGGAAAAGTACAGTGGATATTAGCTATGGGGACAGCAAAACATGTTTTGGAAGCTAAGTTTAGAGCCAGGGGAAAGAGGTCACTTGTTCTCCTAAGGAATTGATGTAACAGCATAACAAAATAACAGATTAACAGAACTGGAAGTGACCTTGGAGTCCAACCCCTTCTAGTCCAACCCCTTGCTCAAGATCTGTAAAGAGGCTGTTGCTTTAGTGTAATCAAGTCCAGATTGCCAGCAAGAAATATATCTGGCAGCTAAAGGAAAAAGAAGACACTGAATTTTACAAAGTCTGGAATAAATGGTATCAATGGCATAGGGCTACTATGGAAGAAATATAACTAGAAGTTAGATAGAATAGAAGTCCAAGTGTACACAAATTACTCCCTTATGGACGAATAAAATTACAGAGAGAAAAATATAATATACAGATTATTAAAGCAGAAGTCTTAGAAAATAGAAGTGAAAAGAGGGAAAAATGATACTAAGAAATTATTAAATTAAGATTTAAGGGAATAAGTATAACTGTATTACCTGAAAGACCATTACGAAACAAACGCTTCAAATGATTGATTATTTATAACTGTTTATTGTATATGTATTTTTATGTCTTTGTCGTATGTGTTTTATGTGTTTTATATCTGTTTTAATAAAGTTTATAAATTTTTTTAAAAAAGAAATATATCTGGCAAGGTGTTTTCAATTTGGTAGAAAAACTACCCAAATGTCAACAACTTTCATCACTCAAAACTAAAGTTGCTATGAAAAGCCAAAGTTTCAAACTATGTGGAAAATGTACAATCAAATACTTACTCATTTATTAAATTTTTATCCCACCTTTATAACTCACAACAGAGTACATAATTGTCCCTCCTCCTATTCCCCCTCCCAGCAATAGCAATAAATACATCTAATAGTACACAAATACACATCAGATTTGAGTAGTAAAATTTGGATTTCAGTACAGGTCGATTTATGATCACAGTTGAGCCCAAAACTTCTGTCGTTAAATGAGACATTTGTTAAGTGAATTTTGCCCCATTTTACCACCCTGCTTGTCACCATTGTTAAGTGAATCATTGCAATTTATAAGTTAGTTAACCTGGTTGTTAAGTGAATCTGGCTTCCCCATTGACTTTGCTTGTCAGAAAGTCACAAAAAGTGGTCACATGACCTTGGGATGCTGCAATGGTCATAAGTATGAACTAGTTGCCAAGCATCTGAATTTTGATCACATGATCATGGGGATGCTGCAAAGGTCGTAACTGAAAAACGGTCATAGGTCACATTTTTCAGTGGCCGTTTGAACAGTCACTAAATGAACTGTTGAGGATTATATGTATAGATAATTTTGAGCCTTCCTGTAATGTTTCAGTCTCAACTTTCTGAATTTTATTTGTCTCTGAGCATATGTTCCTGTCTCTTATTCGTCCCCCTCCCCTTTTTTTCCTTTTCTTTCCCTACAGCAGCTTCAGGGCAACCACATATAATTCAGTGTCGATCACCTGAAATGGAAACATTCTCTTGTTATTGGTATACAGATTATTTTCCTCTTGAATTGGAACCAGGAAAAATTCAATTGCTGTACTCAATAAGGTACTGAGAAATGAATCATGACCTTGAAAACTATTATCTGAAATAATTTCCATTTTTTGTTGGAACTGCAGAAATAAAGTCCTACTTTCAATTATGAGAACATCTTTCTTTTAATACTTACTAAGCTATGCATTACTGCATCGCCTGGAGGATCAGAAGATAAATTTCTGTTTGACACATTAAATGACAACCAAGCTTAATGTCATGGTTGGATAACAGAAGAGTTTAGGTTTCTTCCAGACCAATCTTGCTCGTTCAGACACATGGAAGTGTGTTTTTAGTCATGTTATGGCGGACAACATGTAAAATAACTTTGTAAGAACATAAGAGTCCTAATGAAGAAAACCAAATGTACATTCTCCACAGGGGTGAAATACTCCCGATTCAGACCGGTTCACCCGATCTGGTAGCAATGCGGCGGGTGGTTCAGAGAACCGGTAGCAAAAATCCCTGCGGTCACCCCCCCAAATGCCCAGCTGAGCCATGTGATCATCAGAGGCTTTTTTTTAACTTTTAAAAGCATTTTTTTAACAACCTCTTCAGCCGAAAAAATGCTTTTAAAAGTAAAAAAAAAAAGCCTCTGATGATCGCGCAACTCAGTTGGGATCATCAGAGGCTTTTAAAAGCATTTTTTTCTGCAATCTCTTAAGGTTGTAGAAAAAATGCTTTTAAAAGTTAAAAAAAAAAGTTGGCCACACCCACCCAGTCACATTACCCCCACCACCAAGCCACGCCCACAGAACCGGTAGTAACAAATTTTACATTTCACCACTGATTCTCCACCTTCAATTTTGGGCAACCAGATGCCTCCAGGAAATCCTTAAATAAAGTTTAAAAGAGTGGTGTTTATAATCCCTACCTTCAGGAATCCCAGGCACACATTGCTTCTCTACTGAAATGTTGCATCTAATTAGTAATTTTAATGAATTTCTGTAATGCTCTTTTAGAATCATCTAGTGGCCATCAAATCATTCAGTTCCCCCAAATCCCTTTTCCATCTACAGATAAGCCAATTGTGAGAATGAAATCTGCTATGGAAAACAAAATTTATTCATACAAAATAGGAAAACAAAGTCGTTCAGAATAGATTGAAAAAGATGCAAAATATTAAAGGGTCACTTTATCTGCAGTGGCTTATTTTTCATGGAGTTTTGGTTGAAAAATTGAGGTTTGGTTTCTCCATGGATGGGCTGATCTATGTATATTGTAATACCCATATCTTCAAGGGTTTTTATACTCAGATGTTTAGTTGGGTTCACATGCAAAATTACCACATTTTTATTGCCTTCATCCAGTCTTGAAGCCAACTCATGCCTGAGGCAGTTGTCTTTAGTTTCTCTGGCACTCAAGCAATGTTTCCCCTTTATATAGCCAACAAATTGTGCCAATTTTATCATGAGAACCCAGAGTACTGTATACAGCATGGTGAAGTAAAACAAAGACAATGGCTTGAGCACACAAACTCCATGTCTGCCATTTTGTTTGTTTATTGATTTCGACACTGCCCATCTCACCTACGTAAGTGACTCTTGGTGGTTTATAAACATTATAAAATAATGTTAAACATAATTGGAAGCACAGTTAAAAACATAACAACAACAACAACAACAACAACTTTATTGTCATTGTACGTGTATACACAGTATACCCATACAACAAAATTCACTTAACACCCAAAGATCAGGTCCAACACACATAACAATCCCCAAACACACTCCCACCCACCACAAATTCCCCACCCTTAAACTATCCAAATATCCACACAACAGACCAAGTAATGCTGTCCAACAGCTCACTGATGGTGGCCCTTTTGTTCATTGTTGAGTGCAATTATAGCTGTGGGATAAAAACTATTCAGAAAACATGTGGTCTGAGTTTTAATTGTTCTGTATGTTCTACCAGAAGGCAACAGTTAAAGTTAAGATTAAAATTTACAAATTAAAAGTAAAAAAAAATCAAAGTTAAGAAATTGACAAGGCTAAGAAGTTAAACAAGCTAGAGGGAGTGCCCTCAAGCCATCAACCATTCCCCAAGGTTACATCTGAGTCTGCCATGTCAATTAGCAGAGCCAGGTCTTAACTCTACTTCAGAAGGCAAGAGAGTGGTGGCCCATCTCACTTCTTAAAGTAAGATATTCTAAAGGATGGAGGCAACAGCAGAGAAGGCCCTGTTCTTAGATCCTGCCAGTTGAAATTGTTGTGCAGGTTTCTTTGGAACATGATTTGAGCCAGGGGTGGGTTCTACTTACCTTTACTACCGGTTCGCAGCGGGGCCGCGCATGCACACTCGCTTTGCTCGCATGCGTGTGTGCTCTTCTGCACATGCGCAGAAGCTTCTGCGCATGCACAGAAGCATTTTGATGACATCAGGGTCGGTGGGCGGAGCCTCCACCGGTTTTACTACCGGTTCTATAGAACTGGTGCAAACCGGGGGCAACCCACCACTGATTTGAGCGCACTTCATGTTTACACCCAACTTGAACAATACCTGACAGGCTTGGCCATGTCATTATCGCACATTTTACATATAGTATCCTTTCCTATTGTGAAGCCTTAAAAAACAAGAATATCCTCTTTTTCTTATTCAAAATGCTACCGTATTTAACAATAAATAAGCAGAAAAGTTGATGAGGCATTTTCTCAGGATGAAGAACATATTCATATATGCTAGTTCAACCCTGATTTTTCCTTTCTAACATAACACGTATTTCCAGAATAAATTTTGAGATATTAGAAATTGGAAACTCACAAAAAGACAAAATTGGAAGCTTTGTACTCAGCCACATTTGTGGTTCTATGGGCTGGCCATTGGTTTCCCCTTCCTCTTTTTAAACAAATATTTAATCAATAATATCTGCTAAGATGGTCAGTGTCCCTAATAATGGCATGATGTTCAAGTAACGCTTCTTTGCTTATTTGTTTCCCCCCTCATTCCAACACTGTTCAAGGACTGTTATAAGATATGTAAAATCATGTATACTTCTATTAAAGTGTACTGAGCATCAGAAGAAATAAACAAAGAACAAATTTTTTCCCCAGATTGGTAAGGGTATATCCCATTCCTTCTTGCCCCTGGTTAGCCTCTTCTGCCATCATTCTGCTGTGGTTTCAATGCAACATTGGAAACTCATTGAATTTGCACAAGAGTAGTAGACTACTCTAGCTGGCAATAATACCTTGACCAGTAGTGTCCCAGGTTCAAATAGATAATAGTCTAATGCAGGGATGTCAAACTCAAGGCCCAAGGGCCAGATCCGGCCCGCAGGGTGCTTAGATCTCATCCATGGGGCCGCCCTGGAAACAGCGAAGGACTGGCCCGCGGTGCCTCTGCCAGCGAAAATGGAGCGGCCCTCCTGAGAGAATAAAGATTTGAATTGGAGGGGCCCTCCTGAGCTCCGTTTTCGCTGGCAGAAGGTTGCAGGAGGCCATTGCAACCGAAAACAGAGATCGGGAGCCTGTTTTCACTGGCAGAGCGCTTGGGCCACCACAGGTGACGTCAAGCTGGCCATACCCACTCCAGACCCCCGAGGTCAAACACAACCCTGATGCAGTCCTCAATGAAATCAAGTTTGACACCCCTGGTCTAATGAGACTTAATTTGACAGAATGGGATCTGAGAGGAGGGGCAGACAAAACAACATAGTGATACTTGGCAGAGGCGTGGTGTCAGGACACCCTATTTCAGAAATAGCTAACCTTTTTGCCATCGCGTGTCAAAAGCGGGGGGAGCGCGGGGGATCATGTGCACACGTGCCCATACCGATAACTTTATGCGCTTCGCCTCCACGCATGAACATGTGACCCCCCCCACGCTCCCCACGCTTTTGGCACACGATGGCATGGTGGGCCCGGTAGGCCCGTTTTTCGCTCTCCCCAGGCTCCAGAGCCTTTCTAGGGGCCTGGGGAGGGCGAAAACAGTCTTCCCCACCCCTCCAGAGGCCTTCCGGAGGCCGGAAATGGCCCATTTGCTGACTTCCAGTTGGACCTAGAAGGCCCAAAAATCAGCTGGCCGGTGTGCGCATGTGCACTGGAGCTGAGCTTGCGTGCCCACTGTTATGGCTCCGCATGCCACCTGTGGCACGCATGCCATAGGTTCCGCATCACAGCTCTATTTAGTTCTTGCATAAGTGTCATTAACTAATGATGGGTTGAAGAGGAAGGGCAGCAAGGCTGGTAGATTAACCAGTTGCTTTGTCTACCACGACCCACACAAGCAAATTCAGGACCATGCCATCTGGCAGTGATCTAGTACAGATGCAGTAGAATCTGGACAGGGATCAGCAATGGGGGTAACAGATGACATGCCAGTAGTTTGTCAATACTTTTTTAACTTGGTAATTAGAGAGGTTCTACCTGCCTCTTTCTAGTCCTTTGAGTCCATCTTAATTATTTGGTTTACCATTTCTAGGTCAAGTGAGGGGGAAGAATGGAAAGACTGTCCTGATTATACAACTTCTGGCGAAAACAGCTGTTACTTCAATAAATCCTTCACCTCCATTTGGGTCCCTTACTCTGTTCGGCTTTACATTGCAGATCAGTTATACGATGAAAAAGAATTCCGGGTGGAGGATATAGGTACTCTTTTGATATGAATCCCCTTTGCTTTGCTTCTTAGACCAAACGTTTCACACACAAAGATTTTCATAAAATAAATTTATCAGCTCCTATTATAATTTGTGCTTTTCTCTAACCCAGAGGTCTTCAAACATGGCAGCTTTAAGACTTGTGGACTTCATAGGGGGGAGGGGGGAGGGGAGGTGAGGGGGGGTTAGGGAGGAGGGGGGGAAAGGGGGAAAATTTGTAATTGAAAACTTTTTCAATAAAAAAAAAAAAAAGACTTGTGGACTTCAACTCCCAGAATTCTCCAGCCAGCTATCCTATGCTGGCTGGAGAATTCTGGGAGTTGAAGTCCACAAGTCTTAAAGATGCCAAGTTTGAAGACTTCTGCAAACCTTCCTGCAATGAAAATTGCCCCACTCTGTATCTCTTCTTGAATTCGGCTCTGGGTGAAGATATCACTTATGCTTCCCAGTTCCTGCCTATCTTTGTTCTTTACAACTTAGAGAAGCATGACTTTACTACTCTTGTCTAACAGGTTTAGTTCAGGTTCAGTTTGGTTCTAAGTAAGTTCTAGGTAGGTCTTCCCATAACAACAACCCTGTGGGGCATGTTGGGCTGAGAGCAAGATCTAAAATCACCGTTACAGTGGCTCAATTCAAAACCCTATTCAAAATTAAAATAGCTAAATGTGAGACCTTGAAGCAGATGGGGTCATTACTCCGCATAATGTCGAGGTACCACATAATGAGGAGGGTGACTGTCCCAGGTACAAGGGTAGCACCTTATTCAACTGTTTGAAAACTATTTTAGGGCTTATTGTACAGTGTTCATGTGTGTCCTGTCTCAAATTGAAAAGTAATGCATTAGTGCCAGTTTTCAATAAATGTGTTGCTAAAATCTGACAGTCATATCCTGGGAACATTAAGAAAAGGTTGATGGACTATAATAACTCGTCAGATGCTATTCCTCACCCTGGCCTAGAAGATCACTGCTGGTCAGAATCCCAAACTGCTGTTTATGCATAGGAACTTTACTATCCTTCCTCAGTACAATTTCATAATACCAGTACAATTTGTGCATTAAGTATTTTAAAGTATACAAACAGTCTTTTCAAGATAATACTGTTTGTATTATTTATAATGTGTGCTGATGGAGGGAGGGGTATACTGTTAAATGACTTTTTCTATGACATTTTGATTAACTCTGTGTGAAAATGTGTTTAAATCACAGTAATTCCAGATCCTCCAATTGGGCTGAACTGGACAGTGCTAAACATCAGCCCAAGTGGTGTCTATACTGATATAAAGGTTAGGTGGAATCCTCCACTCTCTGCAGATGTTGATACTGGATGGCTCATACCTTTCTATCAGCTTCAGTTTAAAGATATCAATGCAACAGAATGGCATGAGGTATGTATTGCAAGAGCAAAACTTAAAGACCTTCCCCAACTGGGGGAAGCTATCCAGAGGTATTGGGAATGAAAGACAAACATCTGGGACCTTCAAATGCTTAAAAGCTTGTAATTTACATTTTGGGAAATACTTTAAAAACAAAACATCTGCACATTTGCAAATCAATGAGTTCTATATTCATAGACTCTATAAACACACTCTGTTTTCCTGTGTAATATATGGTGCAAGTGGGACTTGCAACACACTTTAGTGCTTCCACAATTCCAGCTTTTTCTTTCTATTTCTCATACTGTGTTTTACTCATGTATTCAGTATTTAATATTTAACAGATGGAGATCCCATTATTTAATAGACCTCTGACATTTTCCCCTCTGCTTCTCTATATCCCTCCTTGCATATGGATAAAGCCAATAGCACAGCTTGGACTTAAAAATAAGCATTGTATTGCATCAACAATGTACACTTCAGTCATGTAGTCCAAGAAATAAAGTTGCACAATTAAGTTCACAGCCTGCCGTAAAAGAAAAAAAACATTTAAAAATTAGTGTGGGTATCTGCAACTTATACAGAACCATAGAGGTGGGAAAGATCTTAGGGATCATTTAATCCAAGCATTGTTCAGAAGATTCAGTAGAACATCTTTTCACAGTTGATCCCACAGTTTCTCTGAAGACCTGTAGTGAAGGAGATGTCACGACTTCATACAGTAGCCTGTTTCACAACCATTCTGATGTTTAACTTGAATTTGCTTCCTTATAGTTTTAACATACTGGTTTGTGTCTTGCTCTCTAGGGTGACAAAGAATAAGTCCACTTCCTCTTCTACATAACAGCACGTCAGATATTTGAAGACAGCTATCATATTTCCCCTCAGCCTCTTCTGTAGTCTAGACATACCCAAAACCTTTATAATCATTCCTCAAGGGGGTTGTTTCCATCACCTTCACATTTTCAGTAGCCCTCTTCCAAACTAACTCCGATTTGTCACTGCCCTTTTTGAATGTCCAGGAACAGACATAGTATTCCAAGTGGGATCTGATCAGGGCAGAGTCAAGTGGCACAATTATTTTTCATGAATTGATTTCTATACTTCTCTTAATGTAGCTCAAGATTGCATTTGCCATTTTAGCAATGAACATCTCAACCTCTGGCTCATGTCAACAAGGGCATCCCAGAACTCTTTTCCATTTACTTCTACAAGCCATGTCTAACCCATCCCATATTTGTGCCCTACATTTTTTCCCCTAGATGCAGAATTTTATAGTTCTCCCTATAAAATTCCCTCCATTTCAATCAATCATTCAAGCCAATCTCCTTTTTTTCCATCTAAAGTCAACCTTTCCAGTTTTGTATCACATGCAAAATTCTTAAGTGTCCACTCAACCCTCATTCAATTCATTGAATAAAAGATTGGAAAATATTAGAACCACTTGTTGATAAATTAGTTCTAATACACAATACATATTAAGGTAGTATTCACCTTAATGTTGTAGAAGAAGCATTTCCCAGGTGTTTTTTTTATGGGTGGTTGAGGATTCTGGGTATTGAAGTCTATCACATCTGGAAAGCACCAGGTTAAATTTAGGAAAGAATGTTCTAGAATTTCAAACCACTCAGATACTAATTCTGCCTCCTTGCATAAGTTTTATCTTTAAAGAGTACTTTTTTATGAGTAGCAACAATCAATTGAGGAGATTCAATGTATTATTACAGCTGGATCCAAAACGTGGCACCGAAATTCCAGTATATTCTTTAAAGACATGCCACGATTATGAGATACGGGTTCGAGCAAAAGGAACACCTGAAGTTTATGGCGAATTCAGTGATGTGCTATATGTATCATTTGATTCAAAAGGACTGGTGGCATGTGAGGAAGGTGAGAAAAACTTCTTCTATGATGTTGCTTTTGAAATATTTTCTTAACACCTTACATCAGAACTCACTACAAACTTGTATGCCCATACGGATGGAAACTAATCAAGGAGAGAAGCAACATAGAACTAAGGAGAAATTTCCTGACAGTTAAAACAATCAGTGGAACAACTTGCCTCTAGAAGTTGTGAATGCAACTTCTCAAAAACATTGGAAGTTTTTGAGAAGAGATTGGACAACCATTTGTCTGAATGGTATAAGGTTTCTTGCCTAAGCAGGGGATTGGACTAGAAGACTTCCAAGGTCCCTTCCAACTCTATTATTCTGTATTTGGCTCATCCTGTGCATGGAATGCTTGAGGACATGTGCAACATTCTTCTGAACCCAACTTAAAATTACCCAAATTAAATAGCCAGTATTGTCTTATTATTTGATATCTATGCTTTGGTGAGTTGGTATTACTGCTATTATATGAAATGAATTTACTGTACTTGCTGCAAGCAAGCTGCTGATCGAGCTAGCAAAATAAGGATAATATTGGAAGTTCTAGCCTTGCAGGAACCGAAGCGATTTAAAACAGTGGCAAGATTTGCAAGATAAGAAAAGCTAGAAATAGCAGTTTAAAATATTTGAATTCTGAGCAAATACTGTAAAAAAATGAAACGCCTCGGTGAATATGAATCAGCAAATAGTATTATTTCTTACAGTGGGGAAGAAATATCTATCACTGTATTAACCGCATTAGAAATGTCTTGGTTTATTAATGGAATTCAACTAGATCAGCTTTTCCCAATCTGGTTATCTTCAGATCAGAAGTGTCCACAGGGAGGAGAAAAGGAGGCAGATGATTGTGCTACAAATACCATCCCTTTTGTAGTGCATCATGACATCTCGTACATGTACAAAAGGAATGTCGCTTACAACAAGGGTGTGAAACTGGAGGCCCATGGGCCGGATGCGTCATGTACAAGCAACTCCCACCCCAGCTCCACAAAGGGGGGAAACGTCGTGAAACGTCACATGACAGCAACATGACGCGGCGTGTTTGACACCCGTGGCTTGCTTGCTTACTTATTATTATTATTATTATTATTATTATTATTATTATTATTATTATTATTTATTGGTTAATCTTTAGTGAGATTCACAGCCTTTGAGGCTGGTTAATAGCTCAGCAGCTCGAGTCCTAACCAAGGACCTAGGAACTGTTAAGGTATCGTCGGAGGATGTAAGCTGTTCCGAGTAAGGTGGTTTTTTGTAGAGTCAAAATGTTCAAGTCCGGCAAATTTAGAATTTCTAAATAGCGGGGTAGCCCTTTGGGTATTGCTCCGAGGGCTCCAATTACAATCGGGACAACACACGATTTCTTTTTCCACAGTTGCTCAACTTCAATTTGTAAGTCCCGGTACTTTGTGATTTTTTCTTGCTGCTTATCTTCAATTCGTGCATCACCAGGTATTGCAATGTCAATGAACCATACTTTTTTCTTTTCAACTATTGTTATGTCAGGTGTGTTGTGGACCAAGTGCCTGTCAGTCTGAATCCTAAAGTCCCACAAGATCTTGAGTTTCTCATTCTCTAAAACTTTTTCAACCTGATGTTCCCAGTGGTTTTTGCTATACTCAAATCCAAACTTCTGGCACAATTTCCAGTGAATGATTTTAGCAACACGGTCATGGCGTTGTAGGTAGTCAGTTTGTGAAATTTTGCTGCACCCACTGATCAGGTGGTCGACTGTCTCATCTTTCTCATTGCAGAGGCGGCATTTGCTGTTGGTGGTAACATGTTGAATTTTTGCCTTCATACAGTTTGTGGCTAGGGCTTGTTCTTGAGCTGCCAAAATAAAGCTTTCAGTTTCTTTTTTCAGTACTCCTGATCTTAACCAGTTCCAAGTTAGTTTCTGGTCAGCTTTGCCTTCAATACTTTTCAAGTATTGGCCATGCAGAGCTTTGTGTTTCCAATTTTCAGCTCGCTGCTCAATTACTTCCTTCTTATATTCTGCTTTTGTTTTAGTTGTCTTTAAAAGGCCTCCTTTATTTACTTCCTTAATCATTGGTTCTTCACTTTTCTGGATGTAATCATTCAAGCTGCATTTTTCTTCTTCCACAGTCTGCTTTACTTGTAGGAGTCCTCGACCACCCTCTGCTCTTGGTAAATATAATCGGTCAACATCACTTTTAGGGTGCAAGGCATGATTCATTGTCATAAGCTTCCTTGTTTTTCTGTCCAAATTGTCTAACTCCATCTGGGTCCAGTCAATTATTCCTGCAGAGTATCTAATCACAGGTATAGCCCAGGTATTTATGGCTTTTATGATGTTTCCTCCACTCAATTTGGACATTAATATCTTACAAATTCGTCGAATGTACTTGGCTGAAGTTAATTCCTTGACTTTATTATGAATTAAGTCAGAGGCTTCTAAAATTCCCAAGTACTTGTAGCCTTCTTCTGATTTTACTGCCTTTATCATTTCTTCATTCTCTAGTTCTATTCCATCCTCTTCTATGATCTTGCCTGCTTTGGTTGCTATTGTTGCACATTTGTCAATTCCAAACTGCATACCAATGTCTTGGCTGAATTCTTTTGTGTTTTCAATTAATAAATTCAGTTCAGCTTTTGTTTTACCAAACAGCTTCAAATCATCCATGTACATCAAGTGCGAGATTTTCAGTCCTTTCTTTGCAAGTTCGTATCCACAGTTCATCTTCTTCAAAATGATTGTCAGTGGTAGCATTGAGAGTATAAAAAGTAGGGGTGAAAGGGAATCGCCCTGGAAAATGCCTCGTTTAATTTCAACTTCACCCAGTTCTTCTTCATTAGCCATAAGTTTTGTTTTCCAGAGGTTCATTGAAGATTCCATGAATTTTTGTATGTTGCTGCTGATGCCTAATATTTCCAGGCATTTCTTGATCCAACTATGGGGAATAATAATAATAATAATAATTATTATTATTATTATTATTTAATTAAATTTATATGCCGCCCCTTTCCAGAGACTCAGGGCGGCTCACAATACATTTTTAAAAAACCATTCTAAAAACATTTAAAAGATTAAAAAACATTAAAAACCTTAGAACGCATTCACACCATTCATGGCCGGATCTCGCCAGATCGCAAAGCGAGATCAACGGCCCCACGCCTGCCGGAAAAGCCATGTCTTCACAGCTTTTTGGAAGGCCAGTAGGGTGGGGATGGTCCGGACCTCAGGAGGTAACTGGTTCCAGAATGCTGGGGCAGCCACAGAGAAGGCCCTCCCTCGCGGGCCCGCCAGCTGGCATTGTTTAGCTGACGGGACCCGGAGGAGACCAACTCTGTGGGATCTTACCGGTCGCTGGGAGCTATGCGATAGAAGGCATGCTTGTGTTCCAATGGTGTTAGACTTCAATAGCCAGAGAGCATAGCCATTGGAAAATTATAGGTATTGAAATCCAATTTATCTGGACCAACTTCAGAGAACTAAATAAGAAAGACCTGGTTGACTTACTAGGGAGATGCCATGTGTGGGAAATCTACACATCACATGCAGATATTTTCTAAACAAGCATAAAACAGCAAGATGTTGATCAAAGAAACATAAACAAAACTGGAAAGTGATACAAATGTTACATTTTTAATTGTTTTTTTGTTCCAGAATTCCAAATTCCTTGGCCTGTGGTGTTGGCCTTTGGGATACTTGGCCTAATGGTGATGCTGTCTATAGTCTTCTTTTCTAAACAACAAAAGTAAGCTTTTGGTAGATTTTCGCCTCTAATCTACTCATCCAATTTCTGTGGCTTTTCTCTAAGAAATTTTTTGACAAAGTCAATTTATTTTGGCTCTCCCAGGTACATTTATTTATTTATTTATTTATTTCCATTTCTATACCGCCCTTCTCCAAATAGGACTCAGGGCGGTGAACAGCCAAAGTAAAAAACAGAACATACAAAATTTAAAAAACAGTTTAAAATAATTAAATATTTTGGCCGTAAATTAAAACAATCCGATTTAAAATCAATTTAAAATTTAACTCAAGCCAGCCCAGCTAGTTGAAATAAATAGGTTTTCAGGGCCCGACAAAAAATCCGGAGGTCTGTTATTGTACGTATCTCTGGGGGGAGGTTGTTCCAGAGGGTGGGCGTCGCCACAGAGAAGGCTCTCCCCCTGGGGGTCGCCAGCTGACATTGTCTGGCGGACGGCACCCGGAGGAGGCCCACTCTGTGCGAGCATACTGGCCGGTGGGAGGCTATTGGTGGCAGAAGGCGGTCTCGTAAATACCCCGGCCCTAAGCCATGGAGCGCTTTAAAGGTGGTCACCAACACCTTGAAGCGCACCCGGAAGACCACCGGGAGCCAGTGCAGCTCGCGCAGGAGAGGTGTCACATGGAAGCGCCTCGTCGCCCCATAATCCCCCACGCGGCCGCGTTCTGGACCAGCTGGAGCCTCCGGGTGCACCCCAGGGGGAGCCCCATATAGAGAGCGTTGCAGTAGTCCAGGCGGGAAGTGACGAGTGCCTGAGTGACTGTGCGTAGGGAGTCCCGATCTAGAAAGGGGCGTAACTGGCGTATCAGGCGGACCTGATAAAAAGCCCCCCTGGCCATGGCCGTCAAATGATCTTCTAAAGACAGCTGTGCGTCCAGGAGGACGTCCAAGTTACGAGCCCTCTCCGTGGGGGCGAGTGATTCGCCCCCAATAGCCAGCCAATTTGTTATTTCATCAGGACAAAAAGATGTTCAGAAACTCTTTCCAGACAATTAGTTTTATGACTGATGCAATGGAGAGGTCTATACTACACTTCTGTTTTAATCCTCAGCTAACCCTGGCATTAAGCCGCAGACTCTTGAGTTTGCAAAGTACATCCAGGGTTATTGTGCAGTGTGCAGTGTATCTTGGGAGTGAGCCAGAACAAATTCAACAAGAGAGCTGTGATTGTTGCATGGTGGATCTCTGAAAGGTTGCCAAGGTGCTGTGCTAGAGCTTCCCTTGTAGACAGTATTTGCTGAGTTGATTAGGCTTCACTCAGATTTGCATACTGAGTACAGCAATTAGGGTAACCAGCCAGCTACTGGCAGCAATGTGGGAAAGGATTATGAATTATATCATGCTTTACAGGCAGGATAAAAGATTCCCTCCCATTGAAGGGGAATAGGAAGTGACTTTTTCATTAAAATCATAATTGCACTTGATTCATTCCTATAGAGGGAGAAAGAAAAGGTATTTAAAAATTGCTACAAGCTAACATATTGCTCTTTAATTGCTTGGCGAATGCTGCTTTGCAAAGAAGCCAAAAAGAAAGGTTAAAATACCTTCACTTTTCTCAGAAACTTTGCTTAGGAGTCAAAGGACAAGTGCAGAGTTGCAGAAGACCAATTAGCTAAATTGCTGGACAAATTGGCAAAATTAATACTGCTGAGCAACCCCACATGAAAAACATACACTTCTTTATTACTCAGAACTGAAATTCTAAATCATGGGAACTAGAATACGACTGGATGAATCTATCCAAGAAAAATCTGGAACTCCAAGTTTAGATTGAAAGCCTATTAAAGCAGAATTTAGTATTCATAAACTGTAGTGTATGATAAAGGAGCTATTAGCTATTAGCTTCGGGGAGCTATTCCGGATTGACTACTGCAATGCTCTCTACATGGGGCTGCCCCTGAAGACCAGTCGGAAGCTTCAGCTGCTGCAGAATGCGGCCACACGGGTAGTAATGGGAGTGTCCTGACACTCTCATGTTACACCTCTCCTGTGGGACCTGCATTGGCTACCGGTTGCCCTCCGGGTGAGATTCAAGGTGCTGGTAATTACCTATAAAGCCCTACATGACTTAGGCCCGGGGTATTTGGCTGACCATCTGCGGCCAGCGACAGCTCCCCATCGCCCGGTGCGTTCTCACAAAGAGGACCTCCTTGGGGTGCCGTCGGCCAGACAATGTCGGCTGGCAACCCCTAGGGAGTGGGCCGTCTCTGTGGGCACACCTACCCTATGGAATCGGCTCCCCCTGGGGCTCCGGGTGGCCCCTAACCTTCGCTCTTTCCGCCGTGATCTTAAAACATGGTTATTTCACCTGGCTGATTTGGACTGAAGGGATTTTAAAGGGGATTTTAATGGTCTTTTTATAATCTTATTGGGTATTTTTAACATTGATTTTGCTTGTTTTTATTGTTGTGAACCGCCCTGAGTCCTTTCGGAGATAGGGCAGCATACAAGTTCAATCAATCAATCAATCAATCAATAAATAAATAAATATTAAAAGATGCAATTCCCCAACAGATAAGCAACTGTGAAAAGGACTTTCAGATAACAATGATTTTGGCATGGTTTAGATCAGGGGTCTCCAACCTGGGTAACTTTTAAGACTTGTGGACTTCAACTCCCAGAATTCCTCAGCCAGCAAAGCTGTAAGCCAACAAGTCTTAAAGTTGCTCAGGTTGGAGAGTCCTGGTTTTGATTATTTATTACTTATTTATGAATGAATCAATGAACATTCTAGCAACAACAATAAAATGAGCCATTTGATGGGCTCCAACCCATTCGAGTCCCCAGGTCCGTTGGCAAAACCAGGTCTTCAGGGCCTTGCGAAAGAATGCCAAAGTGAAGCCAATCTTATCTCAGCCAGGATGATATTACACAGGGAGAGAGTCATTACGGATAAAGCCCTTCTCCTTGGTCTCACTAGATGGACCTCTTTAGGAGAGGGGAACCATAGCATTTCCTGCTTCGTATAGGGGCTTTGAAGGTTACAACCAGCATCTTGAATTGGACCTGGAAGCAAATCAGCAGCCAATGCAGCTGTCACAGGAGAGATGACGTAAGTGCACATCTAGGCCTGCACAAAACCATGTAAGCAGCCATATTTTGAACCAATTAAAGCTTCCAGATATTTTCAATTTTTTTAATGTTTATCAGTATAAAGACAAACAATTAATACAACCTAAGAAAAAAATAAAAAATAAAAAGTGTAAAGAAAAAAATTGAACAGTTAAGAATACACACACACATACACATATGTATACAGTATGTATATCAAAGAAAAGAGAGAATTACAAAGAAATGACTTCCCCATTCATCATAAGTACAATTTCAGCAACTTATCACCATCTCTGATACTACAAGAAATCTCTTCTTCCCATATCTCATCTCTAATCTATTACACACGTTCTTAAAACCTCATGATTCAATTCTAATTAACAAAAGTCCATTGAGAGTTAACATAAATAAGTGATATATTTTAACCTTAATCAAATAAACCAACTTAATACTCATTTACTTTTAACCCAGTAACTTATCACTTTCTCTTTAATGTTAATATATATTGCAAGTCCATGTGTGATGTGCCATACGCTAAATAAATAAATAATAACTTTCTCTGAAAACATAAGAAAATATTTCTTTTTCCTATATCTTATGTCTATTAAAAAAATCCTTAATGTCTTGTCATTTGATCCTGGTCAATAACAATCCATTCAGAGTTACCAAAAACAGCATATATATTTTAACCTTGATCAAATAAACCGACCCTATATTCCTTCCCTTTGCTTTTAAGAACCTTTGTTCTGAAGATGTTAAATATATTCTCCTTAACTGAACCAAAGCCAATCTAGCAAGACTCTAAGGTTGTAGGTAATGTCACTTGTGGAAAATGTGGAAGGTAGTATCACAGGGCTTTCCTGGAGGGCAGTGGGAATAGATCCATTCTGGGATTTGAGTGCAACAGATTTAAACTAAATATTTTTCAGACTACTTCGTTTTCTGTAAGCCAAAGGCTTTTTAATGAGGTTGAATAGGATGTCTTGCTGACAATCTGAAATGGCACAGTGGTACATAGTTGAGGTTCCAAAAAGTAAAAATATCCCACCATAGTTTGGAATTTGCCAAGATATAGCCATCCTGCTAAAATAAGCAATTTTATTGTATTTTTCTTGATGCAGTTTAGAAGTCCTAGAACTTAAATGTTAATCTTTCTTTTTCAGGCTGAAAATACTGATATTTCCTCCTGTTCCAGTGCCCAAAATTAAAGGAATTGATCCAGACCTCTTAAAGGTAATGAGAAATTGATTGCTGTTGTACAAAATCAGTATACTTGAAGGTTTGTCTGCATAGCAGGGATGTATTAAATAGTCTAAAATAGTCTACTATCTAAGGAAAAATGTTGCACACGTTTATGGAATAAATGTTTACACCTTTACTTAAAACATTCTTTCCAGTTAGGTATTGAGATTGATTGATTGATTGATTGATTATGTGCCATCAAATTGGTGTCAATGATTGGTGACTATATACTTTTTAAAAAATTGTATAAGACAATCTGTCCCCAAACTGATTCTTCAGGACTTTCAAGGATGCACCCATCACTTAGTAATTGTATCCATCTACCTTGTAGCTTGTTGTCCTCATCTTCTCTTTCCTTCCATCTTTCCCAGTACGATAGACTTCTCCAGAAATAAATGTTGCATGTACTGGAACTAAAATTACTCCCAAGTGGAACATTTTGAGATTTTTTTAATTCAATACTACTATATTCATGCAGATTTTATTATGGATCTAGTACTGGCTATCAGCATCCTACAACCAACTTTAATAATCCCAAACCAGAGTTTTGTTTTGTCTTTGGCTAGCAATAGCAAAAGACTCAAAAGAAAACAGAACAGAAGGCAGGAATAAATGCTATTTATGTTGATTCCCAAGTCTCCTTCTCATGGGAGTTTCCAACAAAGCTAGTATTATTGGACATCTTAGTAAAACATTTGGTTTCTTCCATCCTCTAGGTGATCAGGTTCTGGGGTCATAATTTGCATGATCTTTTAATTAGGAAACTGATTAAAAATTCTATCTGAATAGAATAAATGCTACTGCCATGCATATAGAATTCACACATGAATTATTAAATTTCAACAATAATTGCTACTCTTTTGTTTTATTTTCAAACATTTGTTTTCAGAAAGGAAAACTGGATGAAGTTAATTCCATTTTAGCAAGTCATGGTAGCTACATGCCCCAGCTTTATGGAGATGACTCTTGGGTGGAATTTATTGAATTGGATATAGATGACGCTGAAGATAGAACTGAAGGATCAGATACTGAGAGGCTCCTTGGTGGTGTTCACACAAAATCTCATGGCTGCCTTGCAGTGAGGGATGATGATTCTGGACGGGCCAGCTGCTGTGAGCCTGATATCCCAGAGACTGATTTTAGTGCAAGTGATACATGCGATGGAACTTCTGACATTGATCAGTCCAAGAAGGTAAGTGATAAAGAAGAGGATCTCTTGTGCCTTGATCAAAAAGATAGCGAGAAATCAATCCCAGGTCTTGATGATGCATCTGCCTGCTTGCCATCGGATAATCCAACCAAAGAACAGGACCTAAAACCCCATGTTCCTGCCACTGAGATAACCAGTCCACTTGTCCAGACCCAGTTAAGCAATCAAAGTTCACTAGGGAACATTGACTTTTACACACAAGTCAGCAACATTACACCAAGAGGAAGTGTTGTGCTATCCCCAGGACAAAAAATGAAGACAGGGAAAGCTCAAAGTGAAGCTCAGAGAGAAGCAGTTGCACAGTGTCAACCAACCTTGGCCATGGACAATGCCTATTTCTGTGAATTGGATGTGAAAAAATGTGCCACTGTGACATCCCCCAAAGAAGATGAGCCAGAAGTTCAAGTCCAGAGCTTTCCTGAGGATGCTTACTTGACCACTGAGAGCTTTGTCATTCATCCTGTGATCCCTGCTATGGTAGCAACAGCTGCAGAAGAAAAAGATCCGGAAGCTTCTGAGATACCTGTGGCAGACTATACCTCCATTCATATGGTACAGTCTCCACAAGGTCTTCTTCTCAACGCAACAGCTCTCCATGTGCCAGACAAAGAATTCATCATGTCATCTGGCTATGTGAGCACAGAGCAACTTAACAAAATCTTGTCATAGGTTTCTTTCTTTTTCTTTTCTTTTTTTAGCTTGTAGGAAACTGTGTCATCATTAGCTCTATGAAGCTCAAAATGCATATGGCGTTGGGAGTTTTCCAATTCAGCACAGTGTTAACAGAAAACGTCTGAAGTTTGCAGAACATTTATTAACTATGATGTGAACGGGAAGGCCAATTCCCAAAAGGAATTCTGTGTTTCTATGCTTTAACCAGAGCCAAGGTGTCCAATAGTTTCAGATGGTTGGTGATGATGCAGTCCTTTCCACTTTTACCTGTGTTGTTGAATCAATCACAGTATTGCTTTTGTGTCTTGTAAATATTGTCTAACCAAATGTTGCTGGTGCTGATTTGGTAGCATGACTGTCCTTTGTTGTAGGTGTTGCTTTGGGCTTCTCCCAAATACATTGGGTATCTGTGTCGTGCATTGGAAATCATTTTTTCTTCAAAAACCTAATAGCAAGTGTGGAATTTTGTTTGTTTGCTCACTTGTTTGAAGATTTTGAGATGTTTATTCTGGGAACTGGAGAATGAAAGATTAGATAAAGAAGCAAAAAGAGTTTTGTTCAATAGAGAGTTATTATGGTTAATATAAATATAAATCTACTTTAATACTTCAGGTAAGCAAGCATGAATATTTTATACTTGGACTGCATACTGAGGTTTAATTATTATGATCGATGTATGGAATGTGTCTGCTGCAATCAGTATAGCAATTACCAAAAGAATAAGGAAAAATATTTTTATATCTCCACCAAAGCTATAGAGAATTTTAAGTTGCAGCACTGCTGAGGGTGGGGTGGGTGGGTGATCATTTCTTAAAAGCACTATTCATATTTTTACCTTTTGTAGCAAACCAAAAACATGTACAACATTGAATATTTTTTTACTGGTAAAACCAATCTGTCATTACAATTTTATAGCAGTAAAGCCTAAGATGGATTTGGAATTTCAGGGCTTTTTAGGAATACAATTAATTTTTTATGACTAAGTAGGCAATTTAATAGTGTTCTTTTACAAGAAAGCGTTTACATCCCTTAAAGTTTAAACAACAATATAGAGTCAAAGTTATCAGCATTTTAGATTTTGAATCAAATGAAATTGCAAAATTCAATAGAACAGTATTATAAACAATATAAATTTTTTATTTAGGATAATCTGCTAATTAATACCGATGTAGGAAAGTTTTAAAGAATTAGTGTGCTTAAAGCCTTACGTGTATCTGTTCCTTTTTCAAGGTACGCCTTAACATACTTTAATTTTATATTTTGTTTACATGAACGAGGTTTAAATTCCAAGGCCTTTTCAAATATGCAGTCTGCTTGGTTTTTTTTCCTTGCTGTTTTCCAGACTGCTGATATTACTCTCAGCCTTAGCCTGCCTGCAGGTAACCGTTCCTAAACGTCACGCAAATGTCACACAAACTTCCCAGAGTTACTGATTTGAACTGGGAGTTTATGACCTGGGGATGGGAAGCCTTGTGCCATATAAAGGTTCCTTGTTCTGATTCAGAAAGCTTCTCGCTTTAGCCCTCTTACTGAACTTAGCTTCCCCAAGATCTTTAGCACAGGTCTTTTACATTACCTATTGCCTGAGTCTATTTTTTTTAAAGATGTCAGGGATCAATCCGTGGACCCTTCTACACATAAAACATGCATTATATCACCGAGCCACTAATCCCTGACAGGAGCAAAAATGTGAATGTGGAAACATTGCAGTGAATTCAGAGGTACTCAGAGATGATTACAGGTTGTCCCCTTATGGAAAAGGTGCATATATTTTGCACTGATCACAATAATGGGAACCCACCAAAAAAAAAAAAAAAAACTTTGGAAAAGGGGGAGGAATGCATAGGATTTGCCTCTGAACTGGTCTTAAAAGGATTTAAATCTAGAAGAAAAATCCTTCCTTTCCATTGCTGTTCCCTTCGTGAGCCATTACAGTTAATGGCCATTTGATAAGCTGTGATAATAATGAACGTAGTATGTAGATTACAACTGCCTTCTTGGAAATACATTGATATTATACCTGAGTGGCGGTTTTGTTAGTATTGTTTTGATTTGTTTTAAAGTAAGCAAGGTGAAGGTCTTGTTACGTGTATTTGCCATAGTCTTCAGTCTTACAGACAAGCGTAGTGCAATTGTTTATGGTTTATTTAGAAATAAACCATAGTATGTGCTATCGGGCCAACTTCCGTTTGGTGGGTTTTTATGTTGGCCAACCAAATAAGGATGAAGTTTGCAAAAAGCTCACATAGGACATTTAAATAAAGTTGCTTGGGATGACACCACCACAGAAAAAGAACGTAAGCTTCGTTTATTTACATTTTTGAAAGATTGGCTCTTTTTTTCTGTATAGGTACTCATCACACTCAGCTAACTGTCACTAGAAAAACTGGGAGTGGGAAAGAGGATGGTGGGAAACATTAGCAGGTTGTAAAAGACCCTGTCAGCAAAGAACAACTAGAATGAAAAGAATACCAAGTGAGCAGATCACAGCAAGTTTTCGTAAACATATGAAATGGTGCAGAAATTTAAAAATGACCACGCACCTGCTTCTCAGCTACAATGTTAATCCTGTGTTATACAAGTAGGCCTTGAGTAGAAATGCACATTTTAGCTGGAAATTGCATCATGTATAAGCATCTTAAAAGGAAGAAAGTTGCTCAGAATCAAGTCAATGCTTCAGAAATAAACTTTTCTGATATTCATTCTTTGGCTTGCATTTGGCTTTTGTATTTAAGATGTATTTTCTCTAACAGCTGGAACTTTTAATTTTAGGCACTATTGCAATTAAAGCTATGTAAGCCGCTCTTAATGACAAGGGAAATTAATGTTACATTTCTCTTGTTGGATGTTTTTTTCCATCACCAAAAACTAGTTAAATACCTCAATCTCAGAATGTCCTTTGGTACTTTGCTGGTTATGTAAAACAATATACCACAGTATGAAGATTTGTGTATTTCTGTTTTATGTATTTAACTTGCCTTATGTCAGTGTTCTGATTCCATCCTCAAAGTTTAAATAAATTTATTTTCTTTAATTCATCATGATGTTGTTGCATACTTTATTGTCAAACCCTTACAATGAAGGGGAAAAAACAATTTCAAAAAAGATAGTTTACTGTATTGTCAGTAGATGCCATTTTTACATGTTTCTATGCAATATAAATGAAACCCTGGGAGAAACATAAAGCATGATTGGCAGCCGTAATTTCCACATATAATTTTTGTTGCTGACAATAAGGCAGTCTAATTCTGCTCATAGATATGCCAGATTGGGATATGCCTGATTTCTGTAGTTGTAGCCCTCAGGATGCCTTTTGAAAACTGAAATCATTCTTTCACATCATTTTGTAAACCATAAAATGCCACAGTTAAAACCCCAAGAAAAGTATGCAAAAGCCTCATCAACATATGTGGTGTGATCCTATGAGGTCTGCAGGTTTTTTCTCAGAAATGAGACCCATGAAAAGGTTGCCTTCTGAGGTACAGAAGGTTAACTTGCCTCAACTTAAGCAACTCTGCTGCCTCCACTGGTGAAATACAGTAAGACATATTCGGAGGACTATATAGCCCCAAATGTAATAAACATGGATATTCTTTTGGTTATCGGAAAAGTTGGTCTGGTGAAGTCTGAACAATATTTGATTCATGAAGGACTCCACATGTGAATTCTAGCATCCTGAACATCTCCAGAGCTGTTATTCCATCTTTCCATTTGTTTCAAAAGGAAGCATATAAATTACTGAATAAATGTTAAAAATCAAAAAGAAATCTCCATAGGTGTTAAGACACAGCAGGTGAAAAATTTCTCTAAATATTACAGGATATATTTTGGCTTCTTTGTGAACTTCTGGTTGTACCAATAGAAGGGAATATATGTAGCTCGGTGTTGAACTACAGAGCCCTTGATGCTCCCTGAACTTGGTTGTTTGCTCAGAGATGATTTATCACATGCCTAGGTAACGTTATCAAAGCACAGATGATGTTATCTAGTCAAATAATGAAATGTCTGCAAGCAAACAATCAAATACAGAGGATTCCACACTTCTGATTGTGGCACATGTGAAAGCTAATTCCACACAGAGTTCAGGGATTCTCTGGAGCACTTGAGTGATGAACATTTTGGATTCACAATTCCTGAACAGTTTTAATAGGGGATTAGGGAGCAAAACCCTAGATCAGTGATGGCTAACCATTTTGCCATAGCGTGCCAAAAGCAGGGGTCATGCGTGTGTTTTTCGCCCTCCCCAGGCTCCAGAGGCTTCCTTGGAGCCTGGGGAGGACAAAAACTGCATTCCCCATCCACCCAGAGGCCACCTGGAGGCCAGAAACGGCTTGTTTCCTAACTCTCAGTGGGACCAGAAGGCCGAAAATCAGCTGGCCAGCGCACACATGCGAGCTGGAGCTGAGCTAGGGCAATGCTCACGTGCCCACAGATATGGCTCTGTGTGCCACCTATGGCACGCGTGCCATAGGCTCGCCATCACGGCCCTAGATTAAATGAGATCAAAGCCTACGGGGAAAAAAGCTGAGCTAGATTTAATGCAAATTAGACTTTTAGTAGGCAAAAAAACTCCTCCTCAAGTCATCATTTCAGTTGTGAGTAAATTTACTCATTTCAAGGTTCTTATCTGATCGGTATTATGATACTTGCCAATAGATGATTCCTAATTTAAAATTGTGTCATCTATTAATAAATTATGAAACACCAAACTTCCCTCCATCAGAAAAAGTAGGAAGGAAAATGGTTGCACTGCAAAAAGAAAAAGATGAGGGGACAGACTAAAACTGAAGTGTACACATGGAAGCTGTATAATAATAGCTTTTAAGTTAATAAACATTAACATTTCAGAGGATCTGGCTAAAACTCAAAAATACGGAACAAATTATAATGTGCTGAATAGCAAAAGTACAGTTTAAAAATTAGTCTCTGATATTTTTAATTAGAATCTGGGAAAATATTGATCCATGTAATACAATATATTACTAATGCTTACGTGTAATAGAAGCATAGCCAAAGGTTTGTTGCTTGAATTAGTACAGTAATTTATTTCTGTTTTGTGACTTAGAAACAGCCTAGTCTTGAATTCCAGGTAAATGGATGTCTTCTTTTCTGACAATAATCTTGAATCTAAATAAATTGATAGAACCCTCAGATTTCTGCTAAAGATGAAAAAAAAAGTCTTCGTTATTTTTGCTAAAATACTTGTTTCTATACAAATCAGGGAGTAGTTTCTGTCAATATCAAGAGTTAAAACAGCAAGTAAACAGCCATTTGGAATATCTAATCTCTGTGTTCTTTGTCATTAAAATCTCTGGTTAGCACTTATTAAATTTGTTCCCTAGAATTCATTAAATTAATCAATCCTGAACTGAACCTAACAAAGTTGCTTCTGGTATCATTTAATATTTCCAAGTATTAAAACATAGCATTAATTTCTTAGGCTTGCAAACATGTATTGTAATGAGCACAGTTAATGGTCTCTGATTTTGCCTTGGTGGCGCAGCAGACTAAAGTGCTATTAAGTAGCACCAGCTGCCTGCAATTACTGCAAGTTCAAATCTCACCAGGCTCAAGGTTGACTCAGCCTTCCATCCTTTTGAGGTAGGTAAAATGAGGACCCGGCTTGTGGGGGCAATAAGCTGACTTTGTATATAAAAAAAGAACACCGCTTGGGGGGGGCGAAAGCCCTACTAAGCAGGTATATACAAAAGTATGAAGGATATTGCTTAACACATTGTAAGCTGCCCTGAGTCTCCGGAGAAGAGCGGCATATAAATCGAACCAATAAATAAATAAATAAATAAATTTTAAAACAGCAAAGTATAAGGATTGGGGGACCTTTTTTTGCTGTAAACAATCATTATTATAATGATTGAACCAATAAATGGCGTTCTTTCGGAAGTAAACTTTCGTCCACTCTTTCTCTTACAACAAAACACAGCTGATTCTTCTTTCATTTCTTTCAAATTTGGAGAAAATTCAAGCTTATTTCCTTCTTTTATCCCACCTTTATTATTTATATAAATAAGTCAAGGTGGTGAACATACCTAATATTCCTTTCTCCTCCTATTTTCCCCCACTAACAACCCTGTGAGGTGAGTTCGGCTGAGAGTGAGTGCCTGGTGCAAAGTCATCCAGCCAGCTTTCATGCCTAAGGCAGGATTAGAATTCAGTCTCCCAGTTTGTTGTGACGCCGGCTCCCGAGCCTGTCCTCATGCAGGAAGATGACTCTGAAAGTGATGGGAGGAACTGACAAGGCCTTCCTCTCCAGGACCCTCCTTTCTGGCAACGCCTCAGGTTCCAGCTGAAGGCCAGGAGGAAGGCATGTCAGAGCACCCACTAATAGGGAGTGATGAAGATCAATCTTGGATTGATCCCAGGCAGCGTCAGAGGGAGAGGTGTGCGCAGCAAAGGAAGAGGTGTGGAAGGGCCAGAGATTGCTGAGTCACTGAGCCGTGCCCCACAGGGGATAAAAGTGGGTGGGGTTGCTCTGCAGGCTCTGTGACAAACAAAAACTGCATATCATGAGCTTCGGATGGGATATCTTTCAGAATTAAGGCTTGGACTTTGTGAATGACTTCTGACTACTCTTTTGTGCCTTGTGAACTCTTGGTTGCCCCAGCAACGGACTACAGATACACTGACTCCTGTTTCTAGAGGTGATAAGAAACTTGGCAGGCATTCGGAAAGTAGCTGCCAGAACTTTTATCTGCCAAAGGATTCAGGTCAGCTTGTAAAAATAAATTACTGGTAGACGTCTTTTGCTTGTGTGTCTGCCTATGTGAGGTGGGGGGACAGAACACAGTTTTTAGCTCGGTGCCTTAATCACTAAACCAAACTGCAGCTCTATTCCCTCTTCTTGCGCTAAGAATGCAAAAAAACAACAACACCCAATTAGCCAGCTAACCCAAGGAGTAGTTTTGAGTACAAATATGGCACTCGGATCATTGAAAATAGAGCTAGCAACTGTAATGGTAACTGACAGTTCTTAGGCTGTGAGAAAACCTCTTCATAATTTAGAGCTGATTACCTATTAGGTGGTGACTTGAGGCCATAAGACAATACACAAACACTTGAAGTCAATAAACCATTACACTGAATTAAAAACATGATCTCTATATTTTGCCTTCTCACATATCCTCATACTGTTTGGACCTAGGCTTCCTGAGTCAGTAAAACACAGGAGTAGTCCCAAAAACCTCTTTAATTTCAAAGGTTGTGAATTCTGTTCATTCACAGATGAGTCCCAAATAGTTGTAAAGAGTCCTTCGGGATAAGGCTGAAAAGCATCCACCTTTATCTCCCTTGACACATTGCCAAAGACCTAATTGGCAAAGCAACATGGAGTCCAGAATCAAACAAAGCTTCAGACTTTAAGCTGAACAGAATTAACAACATTGCTTCCTGCAAAGGCCCACGTGCCTTTGCTCCTGTTTTAAGTCTTATGGGAGGGGCCAATCATCTCCAAGCCATACTCCCGAGTCGTCCCTTTTGTTTTAACTGTTCTTGCCTTTTGGCAGCTCTGTGCATGCGCGCACTGGGAACAAGCTCCCTCTGTTCCTCTGCCTCGCTGAGGTCTGACTCTGGAGGCTCCGGAGGCAGCACGTACCTCCCAGATGGCCCTTTCTCTGCCTCCGATGCAGAGCCCTTGTCCGAGCCTTCCCCAGACTCCAGGACTGGCCCATGTTCCTCCCCAACCTCCTCACTGCCGACTCTGCTGCCAGGTCCGCAGGCCATTGGCGGACCACAACACATACATACAAGAGTTATTTATTTTCCCCTGCTCCTATTCTCTGCATGTCATGTTTTCCATTGGTACTTATTTCAGGAGGCATCCATGCATCATGCAATCTTCTTCCCTGTATTATAGACTCCTCATTTATGAATAGATTGTTTTTGTAGAAGCAAATCCGAACAGCCCCACAGCCCCAAGAATCAGTGACCCAACCCTAAAGAACAACAGAAAAGGTGGAGATTCTTTAACAAATCAAGTGCTGTGAAGTTTCCATTCTGAATCCGCTCAATATCTGACTGTGCCTAAAGAGAGAAAAAAATGCATGTGCATATGATGCCAATGGGCAACGTTAGACATCGGTGATGACAAGGGTGTCTGCAGGAGTGGTCAAAAAAATTAATGGCCGCTATGATTGTGTAATTGAAACCCTGTCCCTTTTTAAAGCACCTTTTACATGCAACATATGTAAAAATCTATGGAGCTTCAATTGGCCTGTTGTGGTTGCATCTTGACTTTTTAAAACCTTTCCCTGCAAGTGCCCCTTTGTGCAGGGATGGAGGTGCAATTGTAAAAGAAAGGAAAAATTAAAATATTTGACAAAATACTGCCCAAACATTGTCATGATGAAGAGGATTACCTGTTGGGAGTGGAGTCAAAGAATCAAGATGGAAGCCGTAATTGTGTGATCAATGCCACAGCCTTTTTTATGTGTGTGCAACATATCTAAAGAGTTGGGGTTTTGATCATCTCGATTTTTTTGCCCTGGTACCACCCTTTCTGGATACCCTTGTTGGGTTCCAAAAGGCATTAAACTAAGCTCCCAGAATTGTGGGTGGTCCATCACTGAAGATTTTGTAAGGAAAGATTGGGCAACCATTTGTTCAGGATCGTACATTGGTATAAGGTCTCCTGCCTTGGGCAAGGGGTTGGACTAGAAGACCTCTAATATCTCTTCCAGCCCTATTTTTATTATTCTAAGCTAAAGTAGGTTTGGTAGTTTGTGGTAGTTTGTAATTTTTGTTTTAGAATATTTTGTGAAATAGATCACATTAAAGCCATAACATAATGTATTTGTTATTACTATATTAAAATTTTAAACTCAGCAACTGAGTTCAAACATGTTTGTGATAAATGCATGTCTATCATCCAACAGAAATTAAAAATAAATAAATACATAAAATAAAACAAACAAAATAAAATCTGACAATCCTAGGTCCTCGGGAAGGATTCAATAGGTGTCCCAAAAGTGCTTTTTCAAAAGGCAACTGGAATTTTCTTTTTCCTTGAAGTCGCTTCGCTTCTCATTCAAGAAGCTTCTTTAGCTCTGACTCGATAGGTAGAATATTTGACTGTCTGTGTTATGAACCAATAAGAAACAAATAAAAATACTGTATTATTATTAATAATAATAATAATAAATAATAATAATAATAATAATAATATAAAAATGAATAATAAAAATAATAAAAAATAAAATAAAAAACTCAAAGGGAAAATTCAATGGATCACTGGGTCTTTTTCTGCTTTCAGTTTTGTTTCTATATTAATAATAAATTAATATAAATATATTCAAATTTATATTTTGCTTAGGTTATAAATTTATTTTGGTTGCATAAACACCACAATTGTGTTTTGGTGTTTAGAATGCCGTGTACTCCTATTCTGTATTATTTAATTTATGAATCATACAGTTAACACATGCATTTAACACTTTTTGAAAAATTAGCCGGTTGAATTTGGAGCCTTGGTCTTTACCCTAAAGTCCATTAATAAGTATAATTTCTTCCTCTACTCAGATATAGTCACATTTTCTTCATCTAGCAGTGCTTCTGGGTTTTTAATAGCTGCACAGCTGGTAGGCCTCTAACAGACAGTTTCCCACCATCTGCAAATATTATAATTCTTCCGCTTGATAAGGAAAGGAAAGGAGAGGAGAGGAGGAGGAGGGGAGGGAAGGGAAAGGAAGGGAAGGGAAGGAAGGGAAGGCAAAGGGAAGGCAAAGGGAAAGGGAGGGGAAGGGGAAGGGGAAGAGGAAGGGAAGGGAAGGAAAAAGGAGAGGAGAGGGGAGGGGAGGGAAGGGAAGGGAAGGGAAAGGGAAGGGAAAAAAGAAAGGAGAGAGGGGAGGAAGGAAAGGAAAGGAAAGGAAAGGAAAGGAAAGGAAAGGAAAGGAAAGGAAATTATATAAATTAATCATTTTAATTAATATAGGTTTCTGGCCAGAACCTTCCCTTGGCTATACAATTGCTTCCTTTTTCTTCCAAAAGAGCAGTGGGGATTTTTTTTTTTTTTTTGTAATATTTGTTTTGCTTGACTTATGTCACCTTCTCTGCATAAGTACAAGGTTGCTTCCAGAGAAGACTCAGTTTATTTAATTCCCCTAAGAAAACTGCAGAAGGATCTCCCCAAATCCTGGGGCATTTCACTACGTGGGTCATTCAACCATTGGGACAGCATAGGGAAAACAAAGTGTGTGTGTCGTTCCCCCCCCCATTCTGGATGATGAATGGTATGTTCCATAAATCAGTGTCCTGGGCTGGATCTTTCCCTGCAGGACAGTTCAGTTTCAGGGTGGTTTCTATCGCTGGTTTGTGTGTCACTTTATGATGCCACATAAAAATTAAGCCCATCGGCCTTCAAAGCTTCTTCCCTTCTCTCTTAATATACACAACTCCTCACTGTGCAATGTGCATCCTATGGCTCATATTATCAACTTATTTTCCATTCACTTCAAATATATATTCAAATACTTTCCTTCAGAGACGGGATTGCCAACTAATGGTTAAATAATAGACTTGGCCTGCTCTTCTGCCTTCAAGAGATATTTTAATAATAAAAACCAGCAGGGACAAGGCATAACTTCTTTATTTACAAATTAAACATAATCTCCAACTATTTTTTTCAGAAATAAGGACAAAAAATAGTGATGCATCTAGAGACATACATATGTCTTTCTCTCACAGAATTATCACTCACACACACCGTTTTTTCCTCAGCTTAAGTGCAACTTAATTTTATAACATAACTTTGAAGTGACGCACCATTTTCCCAAGATACATAGAAATTGGTGATATAATCCTGCTGAACATTTTTGTTCCTCTTTTACTGTTTTAATTTGTAAACATATTTATCAATACTGTAGGTTTATATCCTGCTTTCAGGGCCTAGATACTTAGATAGCAGCTCAAAGTAGAGAAAAAAGCAATGCATATATTATATTATAGAAGATGTTATTCAAGAAATGTAATAATTTACCAATGTTGACTAAATGCTAGATGGGAATTTGGGAACTTCTCTACAACAGCCTAGCCTGCAGTTAAAAGATAAGAATGGCACAATACATTGCAATCTATAATGTTTATACACACAAAAATAACAGCTGAGTTTACCAAAAAAAAAAACCTGCCAATTTTTTTGGTTCCCTAAAGGCAAAATTATTATTGACTGAAAATGTTATTTACAACTGTCCAAATTTCAGTTACTTTAAAAAAAACAGACTTTGCATAGCTAGTCATAGCCAAATCAGAGAAAATATTAACGCTCAAAGCAGCATTTTAATATTTTCTCCCTGGGAAAGCTCTTCTGCATAAGAAATTATCTTGACTATGTATACAGATTATCATGGAACTAGTACATATAGTGTTTAACCTACATCTTTCAACAAACTCTGAGGAACAACACTTTTTTTTAGCATGACACAAGACAGACTTGACAAATAACATAAGCAGAGTTGCTTCAATAGTGAGATGTCTGGCATATAAATTTAATAAATAAAAATACACTGATGAATTTATAACTGGGAAGAGCTTGAAATATCAACAGTATATATAGGCAAACTGAAATTATGCAAACAGAGCTATTTAACCCAAACATGACATTTTAATATTCTTGATGTTGATACTTGAGTCTAAGACAGAAATCTTAAACATACTTAGAAAATGGTAATATTGTTAGCATATTTAACAATATAAGATTAAGCATTGCTGAATACAGTTCATGGCCTTGTCTACAAAAATAGCTGTAACATTTGTGCATGCAGATCACAGAATGCAGGCACCACTATATGTTTTGCATTTTAACTATGGCACTTCTTACCATGTTAAAAAAATGCTATTTCTCCCCATGGAAATTGCTTCTCACATGACAAAGGAGTAGACCATTATGCTTAAGATAACTAAATTTATACATATTACATATTTTTCTTTGATATACAGCAAATTGTCAAGCAATTGCAACATGAAGAAAACCAATGTGGTGGATCTTGACAAACTTTTAGAGGACTTCTCACATATAGAAATGGTAAAAAATCAAACAGAAAAACAATAATATACCCAAATTCTTAAATGTTTCCCTAGAAAGTTAGCAACTCACTAAGAGTCATTTTGGATAGCAAGATGAGTGGCATATAAATTAAATATATAAATATTTTCTTTCACTATGCCTTTGAAGTCCCTTTCTTTATGGGTCTGATTATGCAGTGGAATAGAACTCTTGATAATTACACTTGTGAAAAATGAAGTAGATGTAGTAAGGTGTTGCATAAGCTCTGATCTCATTTAGGAGATTCAGCTCTTCAAGTCAATTAAATTTTCAACTGAAAATGCTTTTTAATTTGTAGTAGAGACAGGAAGTGATTTCCCCGGTGTCTGTCATAGACTGGATCTAATTGTTTTCTCTCCACGTTATGGAGCTATTTTTTCACTTACCTTTTTAATATAATGAGTTAATCTTCAGGAAGAAAACCCATAGGTCAGTAGAAAATATGGACAATTTAGTTTCATAAAGGACACTTAGACTCCATTTTTTCAAAAATAATCTCTGGAAAAAAGCTAACAAAATCCCTTTCCTGAATCCCAATAATCAGATAACAAATGTTATTAGTGTTTTATTCAGTCAGTATTCAGTATTGAATATTCAAGTTTCAGAATGGCTATCAGTCACTTTAAATTCACCATTCTCTATGAAGCACATCCAAGATCATTCTGCTTTTTTTTAAGGGTCATGCTTTCAGATTTCTAATGCTTGACCAAATATCAGCAAACGTTCAACGTGTATTTTTTAAAAAGATTTTCTGTCAGAATAATTGAGGAGTAGGAAGGATACTTCAAACAAAAGGTTTCATTTGCAATTCAAATAATTTCCTACAGAAAATATCAGAACTTCATGGAAAAAATCATCTTCTGAATCTTGAGTTGGACAAAACAAATAAATTGATGACAATTAGCCAGTCAAGGAAAGAAATGGCTAAACAAGGTAAGCATTCATTTCCTTGGCAGTGTTTACCACCAGACATGTGCTGGAACCGATAAAATGTGTCTGTGGATACTATCTTTGTGTAATGAAAGTAGTCCAACAGCAGAGCAGCCCCAATATTCTGGCTAGTGGCAATGAACTTTGTTATTGCACCAGCGCCAAAGGAGATGGCATTCAAAGCATAGGGCTTTTGTAGTGGGAAGAGCACTTCCCTATACATTTTCACTATTTAAAATTGGAAAGTAATTGGATCCTTTGGGAAATGAAGTTCACTGCCACTTTAGAATGGCTCTGGATATTGCTAGCAGGTGAATGAAAAGAGTCCAGTAACTAAGCCTTAAATCTTTAGACATGGAACTGCTGTCATAATCATACTTTTCTTTTTCTTCCATTCAGTCATGTCAAATTCTCAGAGACTGCCTGGACAAGTCCCTGCAGTTTTCTTGGCTATGTTTTTCAAAAATGGTTTTCCATTGCTTGTTTCTCAGGGCTGAGAGGGAGGAGCTAAGGAAGGATTAGAATTCATGATCTCCCAGTTTGTAACCTGGTCAACACTGTACCAAATTGGCTATCTATAGTCATACATACTATTTTGCTCTTTCTTCATGCCAGTTGTATTGCTGTGATGCAAGCTAATGTTGCTCCATCTGAAAGCAGTTCCCTTCTCTCCACCTTGGCCTCTGTAATGCAAGCACCCTGCATACTATCATAATAGATATACCGTGCTAGAAAATAGTTGGGCATTTGCTAATTACTGTAGGACAGTGGAGGTGAACCTATGACACATGTGTCAAAGGTGTCAAAGGTGACAGGACTGACATTTGGGTGACATACAGCATTCACTAGACAGCAAGTATTATTAAAAGTACATTATATTTGAAAATTGCACAATCTTGTGCAATTTTCAGAGGGTGTGGAGATCGCACAAGAATGGAATGTGCTCTTGCCCTTGGATCCTCCAGAACTCATGTAGTCTTCAAAGCCTCTGAAAATTGTAAGACACATGTGGTTTGCAGAGGCTGCAGAAAAGGATTCTCCAAAGCTACCTCAAGAATGAAGGCCTTTTTTATATATAACTATTAATTTACTTATTTATATCTCTTTTCTGACATGCCGGGCCATTTGCCATATGCCATTTCAATTATAACCAACTATACACAGCTTATAATCTCAGTATATAGTAAAAAGAATTAAAGCATTAAACATAACCAACATAACAATCATGTTCTCTCATTCTACCATAAGGAGCAACAACGGAAAAAACTAACATAATGAATGACTCCATTATAGAACAGACTCCAACCATAGCATATGTATCAATCCTTAAAGGCCTTATGGGATGGCCAGATCTTTAATGGGTTTGAACTCCAACCTGGAGGGTGAGGGCAATCCAATTTTAGGAAGAGTGCCATTTCAAAGGAGAAAGGTGACATTAGGCTCAAAAGAGAATCAGATCTAATAAATTAACTTAAAACATTAAGAAATAGCAAACAATAAATATACAAAAATCTAAACTATTCAAAAGAAAAAGAGAAGTCCAACTAAATTCATTGAATTTTACTTACAAACAAAAGTGTGCAGAATTGCAAATTTAAATAATATATTTGTCCAGAGTAATGAATTTTCTAACCAAATGTAGTCTTTTCATTTTATAGTAATATATTACGTAATTTAGTTTTAAAGCTTAAAATTAATCATGATTTTATTTTTAATATATAATCATCTGAACATGGATTATTCCTTTGCAAAATAAGTGATCATTCAGTGTGTCTAATTTTAGTTCCTTATATATTTGAAGACAGGTTGAGAATTGCATTATGTGTTAAGCCAACAAATTAACAAATTAAAATTATCATTAATTAAAATTTATTAATCATTATTAATCATTAATACACAATCAGCAATGATAATTAATTGCTAACTTTTTCCTGGTGATCTTTCATTCCACCACTAAGCAGACCCAACTCTGTTTAATCACTAAGCAGGCCCAACATTTTCAGATCAGCCTAGTTTTGAGATACCTTTTTTTAAATTCATGCATTATGATTTTATAGCGAGCTTCATCTTGGAAGAAGCATTCTCTGTGAAAGATAATGCTTTTTAAAGACAATACCTACTTCTGTAGACTTTCCATATGTATTGAAAGGAACCAGTTATTGGAAATGCTTTTTAATTAGTTACTTTATAATTGGTTGATCTATCTTGAAATAATACATAAGTGCTAGATAAATGAAGTGATATAATGATTACTGGTAAGAATATAAATTGTGCAACATCATACCTGAATGTTAGGATTCAGTTTTCATTAGAAATATTTTTAAAAAAAATTAAATGCTGAAATAATTATATAAAAGAAGCTGAGATAATGAATGGATTGTTCCAAGATGTAATAGTTATTGCTTTACTTGAACTGCATTTTGGCAGCTATAAATGCAAGGCAAGCCCAAGGCTGAAGAAGGAGCAGAAACACTAAAATATTTAATTGAAGATTCAAACGTGTGATGCTTTATCCTTAATAGAAATTGTTAGGCATTTTTAGATCTCTCCAGAATGGGAAAATATAATGTGACTTCAAGTTCTCCACATTTGTATTCCCTGAACTCTTTAAGAAGCAGTATTTCACATTTTAATTTTAAAATTAATGTTATGAGTAAATAGTCTGAAAATGAAGGATACCAGAGGTCCATCGTGTGGTCACTATTTGCAATTGCAGGATAGTTGGAATATGATAATATACCACTTTAAGTACAATTCCTGATACTTAAATAAGCAAACTTAAAATTAAAAAAATGATAGTTCATATATCAAATTTGGGTTTTCTTTCATTATACCCATCTTGGAAGCATGTATGCCTCATTGCAATAATTTTAAAAGATTAGCATAATTATAAAAATAACAATAACTTAAAAATAAATATATTAATTTCTTTTCTTCTTTTCTTTTTAAAAGACTGTGCTACATTTCAGAATGTGATTAAAGGTCTTCAACAAACTATAGAGACCAATATAATCTGAGAGGTAAAGAAGTACAATTTGATTTCGTAGAATGCTATTTTTCTTGGTTGAGAGGGAGATCCTGCACAGGTAGTCTTCGACTTAAAACCATTTATTTAACGAAAGTTCAAAGGCCCAATGGCCTTGGAAAAAGTGCTTTACAAACCCTGGTCACCCTTACAACTATCACAGCATCCCCAGAGTCATATGATCACAATTTGTGTACTTGGTAACCAGATCATATTTACAAACAGTTGCAGCATCCTGTGGTCACATGATAATTTGTATGCTTTTTTACCTGTTTCCAGCAAAAACACCTGTTGGGGAAGCTTGATTGATTTAATGACTGCTGTACAAATGGTCATAAAATTGCATTCAGTCTCATGGTGACTCTATTTAGAACTGCAACGACTTATGATGGAAATTCTGGTCACAACTGTGGTCATAAGTCAAGGACTACCTGTATAGCCAGAAGAATTTATGCCTGACCCTTGAAGAAAAAAAAACACAAGCCATGCACAATTTTTCAGTACAGCACAGGCAGAATGTTTTTCAAGAGAAGCATCTTTCCTATCTAAACCATCCTTCAGAGAATAAGTTGTTTCTTAAATATTTTCAGAGAGTTTGATTGTCACTCTCTGATTTGCAACCCCTTTCCCAGATTTCTACTCCATAAAAACAAGTAAAAATATTATTTTATGGCAGTACTTATCGATTTTGCCAGCATATCTAGTTGAAGGAGAATATGAGAATGAAAAGATTCCTTTTGTTCTCTTGTTTTCTTATGCAAGAACCCCTTAATTTGGATGACCCTGCAGTTTTAAATCAGTGACATTCAAGTCAAGAATCTTTACCATTTTTTTTTAGAGTTCAAAATAGTTGGGAATTTATTTATCAATCTTATTTTGTAATGTTAATATCCTTATATAGATGAAAATGAGAAGCTCGAAAACACAATCCAGATTTTAGAAGAGAAATTGAAGACGCATGAAAAGGTAGGAGCACCCTGTTTTCAAAACCCCTTGTTTCTGACTTCTAGAGAGTCTTCAGGTGATTTTCTGATTTTTATAGTAATCATTACTATCTTCCCTATGGTTCATTAATGGCTTAAATACAAGCATATTAGATTGTTGGATTAAAATCCAATGTCTTATTTGCAGCTTATAATAAAATTTTTAAATGCCAGCCTTGTCTCCTGATAATTTTATACTTGCTCCTGACAGTTTCCAGGAGTTGTAACTGTGGTGGAACAATTATTTGCAAGTGCATAAGAGCAACAATATATTATACTACATTTTAAATTGGTAAAATTTGCATGTTACATTTTATGCCATTTAAGGCAATTATGAATTGCATAAATACAAACATCTTTACTGTTGAGAAAGGAAAAGTTGCCCTTTACCACTAAAGCATAATGTTTGAGTGCAAACATATGTCCAATTTCCAGTTAAAAAGCCTTGGAAAATTATTTTATTAGAACATAGAAGGGGTTGAATGGATTTATTTCTGGGTGAACTGCAAGTATTTCTGAAATCACACACATACACACACATCATGGTTTCATTTGCAATGATAAACTCTGCAGAGTTTGTGGACAGTCTGTTTTCCTGTTGTCAAGAAGCCTCACCTTACTTCCTGAAGTTGCAAACTGTTCATAACTGATAAAGGGGAAACAAGACTTGCTTCTCTACAACAATTTAGATTTGTTTTTAATACAATCAGACAAATGCATACATTCCTATTGATTCCACTATTAAAGGATTTACCTCCTAGCTCTTTTGCCTGTAAAACCCTGAAGCCTAGTAATTCAGATCAAAGAAACATAAATTGACAAGACTTGAATCATTACTTCCTCTTCAGCAGGGAGTCAGTGAATTGCATACTGGCACCCTGCTACTTGTTTTTCTTTGTGCAATGTCCTCATGGAAGGGAAAGGTTTGCAAATTGTTTTCTTTTTGTTTGGAGTGAGAGGATTTTTGTTGCTTTAAGACTGGCTTGGTCTCTCTTGAAGAGAGTGGAATTTGAAGAAGGCATTGAGTACTTCCTTCTAGCCAAGTTAAAATGCTATCCAAAGATACTGGCATAAGATTTGCTACAGGCATAATACTGCTAAATAGGGCTATTCTCTTTACAATCTGGAGGGTGTGTTAAGGACAAGGATTGGTAAATTCTTTTGGCTTAGTTCTTCTCCCACCAGGCCCCACCAGCTAACAGGAAAGAATTAGCTTGTCATTCTCCTCAACATGGCAGGGGGAGGGGGAGGGGGAGGCAGATTTTGACAGATCTATACCCAGGGCCGGATTTAGATGAAAAGAGGCCCTAGGCTATTCCACTTATGAGGCCCTTTCACCTATAGTGAAAGTGTAATTTTAATTTTGCTAACAATTTGAATGTAGGCCCCTCTTGATCTTGAGGCCCTAGGCTGAAGCCTAGTTAGCCTATAGGAAAATCCGGCCCTGTCTATACCCTATGTTCAAAAGAAGCCCAAATCACAGCTGATAGGAGGATTGCACTGTGAACCAACAAAGAAAATTAGCTCCTTGTCTTCATCCACCCCTTCATCCACCATCACTCTCTCATACACACTGCCTGTTCCCCATCACTTTTAGTCAAGTCTTGTTTTGGTTGATTCGGTTTTCCAAAATAGGGATTGTTTTACTGGTAAATTACAGCAGGAGAACCCAGTTTAAAAGAATTGCACTTTCCATCTGCCCATGGCTCTGGAAAACCATGTCCAGGAACCAGAGGATTCAGGTATGCCCCCACCACCTAAAGTGACCAATAAGTGCCAGAATGATCCCAATGCTAAAGGAATCCCTGATGAATCCAATTTAAAGTTTCAGTTAAAAAAAAGCAATTTGCAGGAGTACATTGAGTGAAAATTATATTAAGATAAATCAATTGCAAAGACTTAAATGTTTCAATAAATTCCTAGGAACATGAAAATATGGTTGATAAACTCATTATAGAAATAAAAAACAAGGAGAAGGAACACAACCACGAACAGAACAAACTTCACAGCGACATGAACAAGCAACGTAAGCATAATATATGATGTGTACACAGTGTTTGAGAGATACAGAGTGTAAGGCATAGCCTTCATTGAGTGCATTATTAAATTATTTTTCATTAATAAAAGACTCAGAATCAACCCTTCCAAGACCGAGTGGCTGTGGCTACTGGCGTCCCGGTATAGTCAGCTGACGCCATCGCTGTCTATAGGGGGTGAATCTCTACCTCCCCACAGAGAGGGCTCGCAATCTGGGTGTCCTCCTGGATGCACGGCTGTCTTTAGAAGAGCATATGACGGCCGTGGCCAGGGGGGCTTTTTATCAGGTCCGCCTGATTCGCCAGTTGCGTCCCTTTCTGGACCGGGACGCCTTGCGCACAATCACTTACACCCTTGTTACCTCCCGGCTGGACTATTGTAATGCTCTCTACATGGGGCTCCCCTTGAAGAGCACTCGGAGGCTCCAATTGGTCCAGAATGCGGCCATGTGGGTAATTATGGGTGCAACTTGTTGCTTCCATGTAACACCTCTCCTGCACAAGCTGCACTGGCTCCCAGTGGTCTTCCGGGTGTGATTCAAGGTGCTGGTTACCACCTTTAAAGCGCACCATGGCTCAGGACCTGGGTACCTACGAGACCACCTTCTGCCACTGATAACCTCCCACCGACCAGTTCGCTCCCACAGAGAGGGACTCCTCAGGGTGCCATCAGCCAAATTATGTCGGCTGGTGACACCCAGGGGGAGAGCCTTCTCTGTGGGGGCACCTGTCCTTTGGAATGAACTGCCCCCGGACATACGCAAGATCTCTGACCTCCGAGTTTTCCGCTGTGTTCTTAAGACCCTGCTCTTCCAACAGGCAGGGCTATCCCTCATAGTTGAGTTTTAAATTCGGAATTCTTAAATGTTTGGGTTTTTTAGCTAATTGGCCTTGAATGTAATACTTTTAATAATTTTTAAATTTAAATTGTGATATTTGTATTGTGTTTTTACCTGGCTGTACACCGCCCCGAGTCCTTCGGGAGAGGGGCGGTATAGAAATAAAATTATCCTATCCTATCCTATCAAGTATTTTAAAAATATCTCTTTCCAACTGAAAAAGAGAGTAAGTGTAAAGCTCTACATGTACAGTATGCTCTCCACATCTTTAATAACTTATTTTCCATTCTAGCAAATTAGGCAGTTTCAAATGAGTAACACAATTTGTTCGTCCTGCCTTTCAAATACGAATTGTGTCATAAAAAAACTTTACATCATCTAAAAAACAAACTTTGCTTCTGCTTAAAAACAGTAAAGAAAATATTCAAGTGAAAGGGAGGAGGGAGGGAGGATTTCTTCATGTTTGCAACAAAATGTATTGCTATAATTTACTCCCAATTCAGACCAAGCTAGTCTCTGAGCAGCAGTTGGTAGTCCTTCATGGATAGCTGATGGAGAGAGCAAGAATTAAGTGATTTTCTACTCTTGACCCCAAAGCAACTGTAAAAATAGGATCTGATTTTCTGTTTGGCAGGGAGGAGACAAGCATTGCAAGCTTGCAACAACAGCTGCTTTTGCTTTAGCTAGTGTAGGGATCCAGATTGTCTTCTACTTACTAGTATGTTTTTTCTGGGAAGCAAGGTATACAGTCCCCCCAGTGGCTCTTGGCCCCCTTGGCAGATGGATGAGGATAGAATGTGCTACCACTTAGTTCTCCAGTTCCCGGACAACTGCTAATTGTGGCGACATGTTCTCTATAATATGGAGACATGAAGAAGATATGAAGAATACTGAAGTATTTGGGCTTCTCCCATGACTTCAGAAGGACTTTATTTTGCAGAGTGAATGCACATTATTTTCAAAATATTTAATCTAATTTTGTTACAAAAATCTAATTTTGTTACAAAATGTGTTAACAAAATCTAATTTTGTTACAAAATATTTAATCTAATTTTGTTATAGAAGTATGCTTGATTGCATTGAAAATGAAAATGAAAATGAAAATGAAGCATTAGAAATGACACGTAAAACAGAGAAAGGTCAAATGTAAGTTTGATTGACCAAGATTACAAGCTCAAGTGTCAGTGAAAGTGAAAGAATGGAAAAGTGTTTTAACTTCTCCCTTATTGCATCAATAGGCTGTTGATCATCAGCCTTGTTTAACATAACAAACTCCCTGTTAAAGGAGGATGAATGGAAGAATCCCCAGTGACCATTGTTGACCATTTTACTCAACATTTTGTTGACTAAGTCACCCAGATTTATCAATCTTGACTTCTCCTGGGCAGAGTCTGATTTGGTGACTATGGCAGCTGCGGATGGCACTTATCCCAATGTCAGTATGTTGCTGCAATCTGGATGGTATGAAAGAGGCTAAAGTTGAATCCTAGCAAGATGGAGTTACTGATTGTCCTTTGTAGTTTTCTGTTCATTCCATTCTTGTTTCCGGAGGGGTGGCATCACCCTTGAGGAAGTAGGTCACAGTTTGTAGGTCCTCCTGGACTTCTGATTACTCCTGAATGACCAGTGGAAGTTATAAATAGGAGAAGCTTTGCTCAGCTTCTCCTGGGACGTATCAGCTGCAGCCCATTTTTTAGTGAGAGGACCTCACCACCAGGAAGGTAGACTTCTGCAATGTGTTGTAGATGGGGGCAGTGGCCCAGTTATTGACTATTGTTAATCACTATTACACTTATTTTGCATTGGTTCCCAATAAGCTTCCAGATGCAATTCCAAGTGCTAGTTTTCATTTTCAAAATCTTGTATCGCTTACCACCCATACTTGGATGACCAATTACTATTAATAGATTTGATCTGTCCAAAATGTATGAAATTTTCCCAGAGGAAACAGTTTATGGTATCCTAATTTTATGAAGTGAAAGGGATTGAGGCCAGAATGTGCACATAGTCATGGTAGCAATGCTATGAAAACCTCCTCTGCAAACCCCACTTGGTGAAGGCCATTTGGGAATTAATGAAGACTGAAAATTCTGAAATTTCTTATGGTGAACTATTGTTGTTGTTAATTATGATGACATTAAAATAATAAAGTATATAATTCTATTTGATTAATGCTAAAATTAATGCTTAAAATCATTAATTAATGATTTTGCTTCATTATTTTTAATTTTGTATATATTAACAATTGCATTAGTTGAAAGCAACATGGAAGAGCATAAGAAACTAATGGAGAAGAAAAATCTAGAGATTTTTGAACTAACTAAACAACTGAAAGCTCAAGAAAAGGAAAAGCAGAATGAGATAATCAAATTACAAATAGAGGTATGCCATCTATGACACCCTGAGAATATGCCAGAATAACAAGAGATATGCTACATTGATAATTTATTATAAATTGTGGATCAAAATCAAAACATTGCATTTTACAAAATTAAAAGAACTACCTGACAAGGAATAAATTTAAGATAGAAACTGATATGATTTCAGTATGCATTCATGTTACGTTTTTCATATTTCATCATTTTCAATTCAGATTCATTTTTGCCATAGCTGTCACAAATAATATTTTCTCTTACTAACTTGGGATCAGAACATCAGTGAGGATATCTCAGGAATGGTGTCTTTCTAAGTCTGTTGAGATTTGTTCTGAGATTTATTTAAGGTTGAGAATATCAGTTAAATTATTACTAGGTTTTTTTCATTATTACATATAGTTTCTATAATTGTAAAAAGTATTTTGCATACTTAGAATTATTAATTCACAATCCCAAAGGTGCTTTTGTCAAGAGGCAACTGGATTTTCTTTCACCAGAAAGTCCAGTTGCCTCTTGAAAAAAAGCACCTTTGGGACAACCATGACCTGGATGATTGAGAATCTCCATAGATATTAGTTCGTAACCTCCTTTATTAGCATGTGCAGTGCCATGAGATCCTGCACCATAGATTATTGGGTCTCAGATTGTAAATTAACATGATTCAGAATAAGCTAGAAGCTGGCTGGGCAAGAGTCAGTGAGTTGGCCAAAACAGTGTCTTGCAATGCTGCCTGGGAGGTTTTTAAGACGGTGACTTCTGAAGAAGTTGACAGGGTTCTTTCTAACTTTAGTTCCTTTACTTGCATACCTGACCCTTGCCCTTTCTGGCTGGCTGAAGAAATGGTGGGGGAGCAGGGATGTGGATCTAAACCATTGATATGAAGGCCTGTTGAGGGAGGAGTGATTGTCATCTACTGTTTGGAATGAAATATCTTTGGAGTGCAGATGATATCCAGTTAATGTTAGTAAATAAGTTTAACATTAAGATGGCAAATGTATGCTTTTATTTCATGTTTTGATTCCTTTTTTTCCCCCAGAAGGTAGTAAACAAAAAGTTATTGTAAAGTATTTTATGCTCCATAGCACTAAAAGAAATATATTCATGCCTTTAAGAGTTTGTGTTGATACCATAATTGTTGCTAGTTTATTAGGATTACAGCCTTAATATCTTTCTTTCTTTGTTCTTATACTTGCACTTTCCCTCACCATTTTCTACAGTCTTCAGCTCTGAGCAGTAAACAAATACATTATCCAGTCAATTAAGCCATCTTTAATCACATGAATAGACTAGACTAGACTAGACTAGACTAGAATTCTTTATTGGCCAAGTGTGATTGGAGTCACAAGGAATTTATCTGTATTACACTTATACTTTGCTTTTTTGAATTTTCTGAGGAAATTCTATTTTTACATTATCTTTGTAACAGCTCTCTAAAATTGATAATACCATGTGATGATAATGAGCCAATTTTTCCCATTTGCACTTCATGGTCAAATGGGAGTCTGTTTTCCCTGTGTTAATATGAACAATCTTAGCCAGGTTGTTTGTACATCATTAAAATAGCATTAATTTCAGAGAAGTTTTTCCTCTCATTTACATTTTTATCAATAGACTAAATCTTTTTTTTTTTAATCAGTTCAATACTAAACTGGAAAGGCTGCAGACCAAAACACTGAAAGTACAGGCTAACCCCGCAGGACTCCCTCAAAATATCTATAGAAAGGTAAGTGTTTTAATTGTTTTCCAAAATGTAAAGTGGTTTAAGTGTTAAAATGATCTGACTGCAGATATTTTGCCCTACTCTGTTTACATATAGTCACATATATGAGATGGGCAGCTATATCAATTTCCAAATATAATAAAAATTCTGTTTTAACCAGTGTCTTCCGCTGGGATGAGGGTGAGGGGAAAACATTCTAAAGAGCTACTTCAAAAAAAAAAAGAGAGAGAGAGAGAAGTTCTATAAATGCTTCTTTCATCTGAGATCCATTTGCAGGGGGAGGTTGCCTCCAAGTCATCCATTTATTTCATAGCCCTGAAAAAATGTAAAAGGCTCCTCCGTAGTGTCACATTTTTAGTATTGATAGTTCATTTAAACATAAACTTTTTCCTAAAGTAAAAAACTGGGAAATACAATTCTTCTCAAATTTAATCAACTATTGTTACCATTAACAGGGGAGCAAATAGAGATTAGCCTTTGGAAGGAAAATATCCAAAATTATTGAAAACCTGTAGTAGTTACTGCTATTAAGATTCTTGAATGTCTTCAATTTCTTCTGCTCTATAACTTTAGGCCCTTTGCACACGTGGCTGTTAGGATACCATTAAGCATTTATGCTGCAATGTAATTACACATTTCCCATTGATGTGAACTCCCATCTTAAGCTTTTCCTCCCCATTACTTTCCTATAGCAAGGCTTCAAGGTGCTTTGCCACCATCTCCTTCTCATTCCGAGGTGTTTTGAGAGGTATAGCAGCTAGCAGGGTGTTAACAGTTCTCATTTTCTCCTGGTAAAGCAAAATGGAGACAGAGGCACTGACTGGGACGGACTTTTTTGTGCTTACTCATTGACCACCTGAAGGGAGTGGGTTTAATGATAGGTGGGTTTAGCAGGTGTCCCTCATGTAGTAGCTATAGAATATTTTGAATGCCAGGGCTATGGAGAAATGCCCTTTATTGTTTCTGTTTGGTAGGGCCACTGATTTGAGTTGTCTTTAAGAATTTAGATAAGTAAATTGAGGTGGAAAAATAATTGAATAATTGAAATGATATAACATGCAATTATTCCTCTATGCAGATACTCACCAGGAATCCTTATTCCCATGCTTTACTAAATAGCCTGGTTGTTTTGACTTATTTTATCTTAGTTATTATCAGATCAATCTGATTTGACTTCTTTGACCTTAGCCATGTACTGTTCTATAATCTGTACAGTATGCTGTGTTGTCTGGTCTAATCCTTAAATATTTTAGAATAATTTTTAGAATAATTTAGAATATTTTAGAATAATTATGATTTTCTTATTTTATTTGTTGGTCTATGACAGAATAAATATTTCTGATTCTTAGAAACTAAGTCGTGAAACACATCAATATCTCTGAAGCATCTCAATTTGTGTATGTGTATACATTTCTGGAAATAGGGATACACATACACACTTTTTCATGTACAGGTATAAGAGGGTATGATTTTTTAAATTATTTGTTTTTGTAGAAGCTCCAGCATCTTCAAGAAGAAAAGAACAAAGAAATTGAATTTCTTCGAAATACTATCAAAGACTTAGAAGAAAAGCTCAATAAACGTAAAGATTGCAATTTTAAACTACGGCAATTTTGAGAATAACATGAGACCACAAGTTTTACTTAGGAGACAGAACTGAATGGGCGACACACATTGAATTCAAATATATTTTCATTTATTAAAACATGGTTTGTCCATTTGCAAGATCTCCAGTTGTGTATACTGAACTACTTTCCCTCTTGTAAGCATTCACCATAAAATAATTCAGGTTTTATAGGGGTATGATTTCCCTACCAAACCATCATGAACTATGGCAAACACAATCTAAAGAGTTTCCCTCTGTTCAACATTTTCTTTCCTCTCTAAAACTTGCAAAAATTCAGTTGATTTCAGAAATTTCAGAAACAACAAGACTATTTTGGTACATAAAGATAGACATTATATAAACATGCTTCATCACTTACAAAAGATTGTCCACATCACTGGTTAGCAGAAATGATGGTTAAGTGTTAAGTCTCAAATTTTATTACCAGATACTTATGCTTATCCTTCAATGAAATTACTATTTGTTTCATCCCATCACTCTCACTTCATGTTTTTAAAGACTGTTATTCCAAATTCGAAACAACTATAAGAGTGAACAGTTTCAGAAATACAGAAATTGATTTTAATAGGTCTTGTTATAGGACTCACACTTCATAACATAAAATCTGATGTCAAGAGTAGTGAATTCTGTAGACTTCTTGGTGATAATATCTGGTTAGAATACTACGCACAAAATTCTGTACAATTATCTTAAATGACTTTAGAGTTTTGGAGAAAAACATTTTCATTTATTCACTTGGTTTTAACCCATAATTGTAAAACATAGTTAGCAAATCTTTCCTTATCCTCTCCTGTTCTTATTTGCTCCGTATCCAACAGAAGCCCCTAGGTCATAGTTTTAGCTCCTGTTTTCATGAATGCAAACAGAATGGTAGAAGAGGAAACCAAAAAGAAAAGCTAATGAACACCACAGACATATGGAACTGGCACTGAGAAACAACTCCATATCATTATGGGAAAGTTTTGTTCTTACTATTTAAGGCAAAGTCAGATGACAAGGACTGTATTCTGTATCAGTGAAATCACAGCACATGACTACACCTAAACAAATACAGCCGAAATCCAAGAACTCTTGCTTTACTGGTAGGTGTAAATGTTGTTTTTTCTTCCCCAATAATTTACATAATGGTATATGTGCCAGGAAGATTACTGCTGGAATGCATTCCTCTGCTTTAATGCCCTTCAGCCACCTACGGCAAGGGTTTCCAAATACTTTGACAGAAATAGTAGGACCAATTTCAAATTATTATGGAATGCATTCCAAAGTCTGCAATCTTCCATAGATGTTTAGATTGTTCCTCAGGCTCAGTTGTCCAGCCCTGCTCATTGTCAGGTTTCGCCCCTTCTTGCTGCTGGTAACGGTCAAGCAGCAGTTGGCAGACGTCACTGTCAAGACTCAGCCACGTTGTCTGCCAACAGCTGCCCTTGTCACCTTCAGGAAGATGGGAGCTCTCCACGACAATGTCAGGAAGTTGTGCTTTGCTGATCTTCAAACAACAAGTGTCGTCAGTGTCAGCATCAGCTACTGGAGATGGAACCTGTCAAGAGCTGCCAGTTTCAGCTTAATTGGCGCTTGCAGATGCCACTCCCCCTTTGTCAGAGCCTATCCCCTTGCAAAGGAACGTCTACAGCTGCTGACAGAAGGGCAGTTTCTCTGCTGTTATGCTGATTGTTTACTTCTGGCTGATCTCGTTTGGGATGATGTCCATGATGATGATGATGGGGATGATGATGAGGGTGATGATGGTGGGGATGCTTAGTGGGAGACAACTGTGGGGCAGAAGTTGCCTCAGTTTGCTTTTCTTCTGGATTCTCTGAGATTCTTTTACATATTTCTTCAATTTCAGGTGTCTGAAAAAGTTCAGACAACATGGTCAGAATTTCAATAGTTCTCATACAGTATGTCAACACAAAATGCAAGCAGAAATCAGGTTAAAATCAATTTAAAGAAAATAATAATGTAACTAAGCCCTAGGATTTCTGCTTAAAATCACAATCATCCCAAGGTGTTCAACTTCTCTCATGACTATTCTTTTCCAAGTCATTTCTAAAATGCCTGATGCTTAGATCAGCATGAGACTCTTACTTTAGAAAATATCCATCTTGTTATAATTCTCTGACCATACAAAACCTGTGAGAGTCCTAGTTCCATTTGATGTTGGTTTATTTATTATTTATTTCATTACTTTGCTTCCTTCTCAAGGAATTAAAAACAATGTATAAAATACTATTTAATTACAAAGATCTAAATCTTATACATGAACAGCATTGAGTTTAATGGCAAGTTGGTTGCGGAGTGGCAATCCAATCATTTTGCAGTTGGGGAAATGCTCATGGGTCTGCATTTACGGGAATGGGTTTTTTTCTAAATTAAGCATCTGGAGAGTAAATGCCTCGAAGATGAAGCATAACAGAGGTAGAATGAGATCTGTACAGATCTGTAATATATACCTTAACTGGTTTCATATCTTATACTAACTGAATTTGAGTTTAGCATGTTATGTGAACTCATGGAATCATAGGATTGTAAGGGATCTTGGAGGTTTTCTAGTTCAACCCTCTGCCCAAGGCAAGAATCTTCATACCATCTCAGATAAATGGCTGCCCATTCTTTTCTTGAAAACTTCCAGCAATGGAGCTCCCATAACTGCAGAAGGGAAACTGTCCCACTGTTTAATAATTCTGACCATCAGGAAATTCCTCCTTATTTCCAGGTTGGATGTCCCTCTGATGAACTTCTATCCATTGCTTCTTGTCCTACCTCAAGATTACTATCAGGAATAAATTGACACCTTCTTTCCTGTGACAGCCCTTCAAGTATTGGAAGACTGCTATCATGTCTCCCCTCAGTCTTCTCTTTGTTGACTCAACCACTGTGACTTAATAAATCATAATAAAAGATGCCATTGGCTATCCATCTTTCTTTATTTTTTCTTCAGGAAAGCTAGCAATTTGTTTTGGTTTGGAATAAAAACATTTGAAAAGTTTTTAATTATTTGCTAAGAAGTTATACAATTCTTAGAAATTATGAAAAAGAAATCAATGGTCATAGGTTCTGTACATTTTTAAATGTTCGTTTAATCAGTTTTTCTTTTTCCTAGATACTGCTATACAACAGTGAAAGGGAAAAATGAATACATACTGTGTATGAGCAATTTCCACAAGTGTCTTCACAATAGGCGATCTGAATAGCTTTCTCTACATATGGAAAACTCAGGAAAGTATAAGGTAACTCAAGGTGATAAACCAGACGACCACATCTAGGGAGAAAGTGACCCAGTTCTTAATATCAAACCATCACCATATTTATGAAGAAGAGTTTTTTACAAAATTAAAAAACAACTTAAGTTTCTTGTCTTCTGCTGTGATTCCCCAAGTCTATTGTATGCATATTATAAGAAAATTGTGGATTAGGGTCATACTAATACTGCTGTAGCAGCAGGATCACAGTAATCCTAATTCTTTGTCTTCTGCTATCTATTTTGAATGAATAGGAGTTCTTTTGTCTCCTTCTGAATTTTCCTACCTTTCTGAAAGCAGAACAATGCTAAACCTAATTAAGGTGGACCTGATAAAACCCATTAACAGGAAGGGCTCATATGAAAGAACGCATCTCCCTGCAAATCCCATTAGTTGGAAAAGCAGCAAATCCAGGGGAAGGAAAATGTAAAGTAAGAACTTGTATGCAAGGACCACAAATACTTGTAAGGAAGTTCATTCATTTAAGTAGCATAAACTGATCCAGATAAACCACTTCGGGGCACAATAAACTATTTGTGGGTTTGGATTTTTTGTGCCTTGGAGTCAGTGTTGACTTTGAAAACTGCCTGGACAAATCCTTGCAGTTTTTTTGGCATGTTTTTGGAAGGGGTTTGCCATTGCTCCTACCTAAGGCTAAGAGAAAGTGACTGGCCCAAGGTCACCTGAATTATTAATGGACAAAGCAGGTTTAGAACAGATGATCTTCCCATTTTTAGCCTGATGCTTTACTCACCAAATCAAACACATATCACAGTGAAGTAGACAACCACTCTCACATCTTATATGAACCTACCCAGCCCGCAGAGCCAAATGAATGAAGAAAACTACTTTTATGTATTCTGAATCAGTGGTGAAATGTAAAATTTGTTACTATCAGTTCTGTGGGCATGGGGGGGTAATGTGACTGGGTGGGCGTGACCAACTTTTCTTTTTTTTTACTTTCAAACGCATTTTTCCTACAACCTCTTCGGCTGAAGAGGTTGTAGAAAAAATGTGTTTAAAAGTAAAAAAAAAAGCATCTGATGATTGCGCAGTTTAGCTGGGCATGGGGGGGGGGGCAGGAATTTTTGCTACTGGTCCTCCAAATCACTCGCTACCGGATCAGGTGATCCGGTCTGAACCGGGAGCATTTCACCCCTGCTCTGAATGTATTGTGCAGATAGAGGCACAGAACTTCTTATGCAAAACTCTAGGGTGCCATCTGATCCAAATAAGCCTCATGTGCTTTCAAAATATGAAGTACCTAAGAAGTTCTAATCCATTTGATTTGTTTTAAAAAACAGACCTGTCGTAAATCAGGAAATCATCTTTTTTGCCTCTTAAAGTAGCCCAGACATCAGGTTGCGTTGCGTTCTGTTGGTATACAGGAATGTCTTCTGAAACCTTTTCTCTTAGAAGATGGTACTTCAGCTGGGAATGGTCTCCTTGGTGATTGACCACAATGAAGGAGATATTGACCAATCCATTACTTGCCAGCTTCAGTTGCAGGTCTTCAAGTCTAATAAGTAAATAACATTTTATGCATTCATTTTCTTCTCTTTAGAAAAGCAGAATTTGTTTGGGGGGGGCATGTTATCTACAATTATTTAATACTACAGAATTAGGAGTCCTACTATACAATCAAACAGTACAAATGAATTTGAAAAGTCACAGCAGCTTTAATACACCTGGACCAAAAACAAAACAAAACAATCTGTTAGCCTGGGAACAATTCCTAAGAAACATGTCACATGTAATAGGGTGTACAGTCACTAATTTTTCAGAAAAACCACTTTGGGATTAAATTCAAAAATGAAGAGACAATATTACTGAATAAGGCAATAGCAATAGCCATAGCACCTAGACTTATATACTGCTTCACAGTGTTTTCCAGCCCTCTCTTAAGCAGTTTACAGAGTCAGCATACTGACCCCAAACAATCTGGGCCCTCATTTTACCAACCTCGGAAGGATGGAAGGCTAAATCAACCTTGAGCCTGGTGAGATTCAAACTGCCAAATTGCAGTCAGCCGGCAGTCAGCAGAAGCAGCCTGCAATACTGCATTCTAACCACTATGTCACCAAGATGTTTTGTTCTTACAAATTGTCACATGGGGTTGTTTAACAAAGCCAGAATGCCAGTTTCAGGCCTAAAATAACTGTAAAGCAATAATTTTAGCAATCAAGCAAAAGCTATTGTGTCAGAATTTTTTTTCTCCCCACTCAAAGCTGAATAAAAACTTCTCTTGCTTTAAGAAACAGATCCCAACAGGATATACATTCATGTGCACTTGCCTATTTGGGTGGACCTTACCTGGAAGCCTGCAAAAGGCACAGGTATCAGCTAGCCTGGAGTAGAGCAACCACTGTCACTGACCCTCTTGAGGTCATCATGGGATTTTCTTCCCCAATGCTCCATTCTGGAGGTTCTTTACAACGACCCCGATGCTCTGCTCCTCCTCCTGGGAGGAGACAGAGGACCAGGGCTAGTCCTAGCCCAGCCCACATGACTGGACGTGGCCTGCAAAGCAGAGAAACAAGTTAAGGAAGAAAACTAAAGACTACAGGTAGTCCTCGGCTTACAACAGTTCATTTAGTGACTGTTCAAAGTTACAACGGCACTGAAAAAAATGTGACATTTTTCAAGAGTTACAACTTCTGTAGCAACCCCATGATTATGTGAACAAAGTCCAGATGCTTTCGCAACTGATTCATACTTATGAACATTGCTGTGTCCCAAGGTCATGTGATAACCTTTTGACAA